CCCGATGACAGAAGCTCTGAATTGGAGTGTTCTTTCCCTGTGCACCACTAAAGGAGGATCTCAGTTGTTCTTGAGTGCACAAAGTACTGAACTCTGAGGGTGAGGCCTTCAACAGGGTGGTGTAAATCATGTGCCTGACCTTCCTCATGTGAGCACAGGAAAGAGTGGAGGGCTCCAGACTTGGCTGCAGGCAGGAGGGCTCCCGAGGCAGGGTCAGGGCATTCCTTTCTGACTCAGAGCCTCTACCGTTAGAGTTACTGCTGTCACTGGCCTTTGGATTTGAGATGCTTGATTTGTTGTGTGTTGAACAGGAGGCAGTGTGTAAGTGCCTTCAGAGCTGGAAGCTGTGGCTCTGTGTACTAGGTGTTCTAAAGCCCAGTTTACAACAAAACAAAAAAAATCCTTGCTAAAACCATGAGCTGATGAAGGACCATCTGACATCGCTTTGTTGCTAGCCAAGTGAAGCTTACTGGGACCTGGGCTGCTGGTTCCATAGGTCTGGTCTAGATGACTGGGGGTGTGGGAGAGAACCAGAACTGCTAATTTAAGCTATGCATGGAAAGTGTATACTGGCCTCGATTAGTAATGCAACTAATATTTTTTAATTTTCAGGACACATTCTCACAAATGGATTCATTTATAGATGAAGAGCTAAACAAACAGGTTCAACAACACATCAGCGAGACCATTGTTCACAAACCCTTGGATTTTGCTAAACACCTGAAGGAATCGTCCTTGTAAATGAATCTAGCAATGTGTTCAGTTGGCATCTTAATTATGGAGAAAGATTAGCTAAAAGAAATTTCCACTCATCATTAAAAGAATTCAAGTATATACAGAATACAGAAACACAAAAAACCGTAACAGCAGTTTTTCACACATTGTTACAAGGCCTCTCCACTTGCCCACAGGGCCCATGTTCTCAGGGCATGGGAACCGCAATGGACACTAATAAAAAAAGATACAAGCCCAGATCATTTTAAAATTGTTTGCAACCGTGCATTATAGTATTTTTGTATATATATTTTCTAATTTTTATAACAGAAACATATATAGACGTGTGTTTCTGAGAAATCACTGGGTTCTGTTGAATTAATAAATATTTTGGAACTTTTAACATAATGTTGACTTCTTTGATGTTTAAGATACTAGAGATTTTGAATATGTATTGCATTTTTCTTCTGTTTTTCCAACCATTTATCTCATCTTGAAATGATTTTGCATTTGGTGGGGCTTCTCCCCTCTGATGAATCTTGGTATTGGCAAACTGAAATTACTAAATTCAAGTTCTGAACTATCATCATGATTTAATGCTCTACTACAGTGTCTTCAATATACCCTCACTGTTAAAAATACTGGACAAATTCAAGGTAAGAATTAAATCTTTTTTTTTTTTTAATCTTGGAATTTATTTTCTCCCCATTCCCCAAATATTATTTATTGCCTCATTGTTCTAGAATCCATTTTCAGCTGCATGTTGGTTTTGCAAACAGTAAGTAAAATATATGAAATAACTTAAAATTGAGTGTTGGCTTTATGTGAATTCCATTCTACAGCTGAGTGTGGTGGCCTGTCCCTGGCTGGTGGCTAATACATTTTGTATATTTTTGTAACTTTTGTGTTTTGCAAACTAAAATAATCAGAAAACATATTTTTTCTAGGATATTAAGTTCTTTACCCTGATTTAGAGAGGTTAGATATTTTTAAAATTAATATATTTATTTTAATACATGTTTTTAGTATTAATCAGACTAGTTCACCGAATTTCAAGTAATTAACCATACTTTACAAATTTTCAGTAGTTAAATATTCAGAAACATTTTTGGAATAGGCATCTATCTACTAATGGATTAAGAAAATTTTGCTACGTAGATTACAAAACTGCCTACATAATACTGAGGGTAATACATGTGTTTCTGATGTTTAGGCTGCCATTCCCATAGCTTCTGAGTAGCTCCTTCTAGTCGTTAAGTGTTTGCAAATGTGGATGTGTTTTAAATTCTGAAAAATTCTGTAGGGGCCATTTACCAGTACCTTGTCAGTTCATGAAGGGTAAAGCAAAGAATCAATGTCTTAAACCATTTATTTTTTTACAACATATACAAATACAAGTTTATTCTTCAAGTCAGCAGAAAGAAAATAGTCCAGGTGGAAGTGTCATGTTTAAAATTGTTCATTTTACATAGTTTCCAAACAATATAAAGACTGGCACATAGTGATGTTGCATTTTCAGAATATGTTGACGTGCTTTAAGAGGCAGAGGAAGATAACTGTACAGATAAGTCATTCTGAAATACCCTATACATGTATTGGAGTGGAACCTATTTACTGCTATTTATTTTTGTGTTTAATTTGCTAACTCTGCCAAATGTCTACCACTATTGAAGTTACAGAATATTTATCACAGACAGGAAAAAAACACCACCATTATTACATTTAGTGGGCTACCCTAAAAGTAAACTGAGTTTTATAGTGAAATAGTAACAGCCAGTGATTAAAAAACAAATGTCAGTCGCAGTATTCAGAGAGCTAGAGCAGGATAGTTCAGTTTCAGAAGCTGCAGACTCAACCTTTCACAGAAATGTAAAGCTACCAGCAAGTTCTTCTTCTTTAAAGAAGACAAACATATGAATGTAAGAGAATGTGTTCTTGAAATATTTCAAGATTTTCATGTTAAAGTCTTTAATTCTTGAAAGCACATGATTCTAGAAGCAGACAGCTTTCTAAAGATGGATGTTGAGATAACAATCTAGTAATATTTGTAGCAATAAAAATAATGTGACTGGGTTTTAAAAATTACAACTGACATGGTATTTTTATTATTTTTTATTCTTCTAACTGCTAAACTTGGAATCAGTAAGACAGAACAGGAAGCCCTCCAGGCGGTAGGAAGTACCTCCTGGCACACCCCAGTTCCTGCAAACTGACTAGTCCTGCCTGCAGTGGGGCCAGGATCCATGGCTGCCCAGCTTTTGTCCCAGACAGTCACACAACTGCGAGCAGCACATGCTATGCAAAGAAAATATAAGAAACTGGTAGAAAAGTAACTGGCTTTAAAGTAGTATAGAATAAAATACTTCTGTATTTTTGCCAACAGGCAACAGTGTGTGAGATTTCCGCCTGTAAACTGTTCAGCATGAGGCCTGCTACCACTCAGAGACTGCATGTTTCTCAAAGGTGTTGATTATTTACATTCCTTTTGTTCAAACTTTATCCTGGAAGCTGCTTCCTGTAAATAGTTTGTAATGTAAAAATAAATGTATTTTCCTAACTGATGTCCAAGCCCAGCCAGAAAGGGACAAAGTTATTTTGTCAGTCTTGTCATAGGAATGTGTGGACAGGTATTCCTGCAGAAATAAAATCTGTGGCTAAGCAGAATAAACTTTCCTATTAGAATAATAACTCAGCACATGAAATATGTTTAACTGGGCTTTCACAAAGTTAAAAAAACCAAAAGTGTTTAATGCTTGGAACAAACACAAAGGGAAGGATACTATACTCCTTTCCAGCTTCACCCCAAAATGTACCACATTTAATTAACAAAAGTTTACTTGGTTTACCAATACCTAAACTTGAAATTAAGTCATTGATACATGTACATTAATACATGTCATTAGCCTTACACAATTCCAGATGTCTACATGCCTATAAAGTTGGGGGCATTTAATAGAAAGTTAAATATTTTGCTTTTCTCTTTCACTGTAATAAACAGCAGCAAAAGCAACTTCAGACTTTGTTTGATGAGGAAGATACAAATATTAATAAACTAATCTCACAGCTAAAAAATGATTATATTAACAGAAGTAGTAAAAAGTACTGTTTTTAAATTGCCACTGGACTTCAGGCTACTGTTAGACCTGCATTACACAATGTGATATGGCTACTGTTTTCCCTTGATTTCCCGAGGTTTTTTTTTTTTAAATCTATGTAATAGAAGAGCATTAGTGGATGACAGCATGGGTGTAAGAACTATCTGTGTTGAATCTAATGAATTAACAAGTGTGTCTTCCAGACTACTATGATACTGCAGGTGATGTTAAGAATTTATTTTCATTGCTGCTGAACAACAACAAAAAAGCGCCTAACAGGTAAGGGCTAACTCTATAGGAAAGTAAGTATTGTTTCTGAAGTGCTATAAAAACACCAAAAAATTAGTGGTGATGAACTGCTACTGTGTTAAAATAACAGAGAGAATGAAACTAAGAAAAAAAAAGTTCCATTGTGCAGTAGGTTGATGTATTTCCCAGTAATTCCAAAGTATTCCAAAGCAAACTATGCATATAAAGCTATGGGTAAGTTGTCACTTCTAACGTTTTACTCAGTATCAGTCTGGCATTATGTGTGTGCCGTGGGGTAGAGAGAGAGCACACTCATGCTTACAGGGGCTGGCTGTATACATAGTTAGGATTCGTAACACGTGTGCAGCGTCTGAGCTAGGAGGTGGTTGAGGTTTTAATTGGATCATGTTGCTGAATTGCCCAGTGCTGTTTTGCTACATCAGTACTGAGGATAAGCAGTGGGAAGTGCATGGCTTCTGGGAGGATATTCCACAGGGAAACAACTTTTTTGTGTGTCTGTGGTTATTTTTCCTGAAAGCTGGAAATTACCTCTAGAGGGCACTTTTTTGCTTTGGTAATAGCTACTTTATAGACATTTTCTGTAGTGTATAGTGAAGGACTTAGCTTCTGGTGACAGAATGCAGGTTCTGTCTGCTTGTTTATATGTCAGTTACTGACTTTGCTTTCTTTTATTTAATTTTCTAATTACTGCAGGGGGGATGTTGGTTGTCACGGGACTAATGCCTGTAACTTCTTTACCTTTCCTTGCACTACCAAAAGTAAACCTCAGTTTATTTACACTGCAGTTCTATCCTTTGCCTGATGCAGCTTCTCTTATAGGAGCAGCAGCGTTTTGTGCTTGAGTGCCAAAGTTGATGTGGAATAACTGAGTGCATGAATCACTCTCTGTATTCATGCATTTCCCAATTTAGTCACACCAGGTAACTGAAATGCTTTATTTAGGGATTGCTCTACTGAGACAAAACACGTGCAGAGCAATTTACTCACCACAGGTTCACTTCTTGTGGGAAATCAAAGGGATGACCGATTTCAGCAGTTGTTTCATTTGTGCCCCTGTATGTTGGTATGGATTGTTTTAACTAACAAAGCTCATTAGTAACTCCCATGGAGAAATAAAAGAGACAACCATAACTGGCTTAAATATCAAAAGATAATTCAGCAAATGTAAAACTTCACAACAGTGTTTCTATGTAAACAAAAACGTCAAGAGTTATAGTGTAAGAGTTCTTTATACTCTCTGGGTTTAACAGACAAGTAAAAAGACATTTCCTGACTGTATGGAAAAATGTTATTTTGAATTCAAAATTTAAAATATTAATTACATTTATCAATGTATTGGTTTGAGTTTGGTCAGTTTTGGGTATGAAACATTTTGTGCTGAAAAGAAACAACCAGAAAAGTTAAAACATTTTTTCCTCTATATCCAGAGAGAGGTAAAAATTCTGCATTTTCTAAAAAGTAGTATATGATAAATATATTATACAATGGCATGTACTCAGAAACATGATAATAAATATTCTTTAAACACAAGCCTGGAAAACTAGAATTTATAAGAAGAAAATGTTGTTCCTTGTCAAAGTATCACTACTAGTTAGGTGTTTTTTAGCTATTGTACATTATTTTGTTAAAGTAGATAAAACATAAATAATTTGAGCATTTTGTGTATATTCACCAAAGTTAAACAGATAGGCAGAGGAAGTTACAGTATATTTAAATCTCTTTACAATCACTTAACACAGTGTTTAACAGAAATCTTCAGGTAAAAGTGCATTATTTTAATATAATACACATAAAAGAAAACTCTGGTTCTCTGCCTTCAGTTTCTTTAAAGGCAACTGGCTAAAATTATCTTTTGTTTAAAAAGGGGAGGGTGACAACACATGTTTGTTTACAACGTACAGTCCAAGAAAACTTCTTCATCCGCCTACCGAGAATCTGCAGATGTGAAGATGAGGGAAGAGAAGACTTCCGAGAGCTGACAGGCATCTTTCCAATCTACAACATCCCATTTAGGATTCCCAGATTCTGGATGTTAATCCAGCAGTATTGCCTGGATTAAGCATCTGTAGCACAGGGCACAAAATTAGTGACCAGTTCAGTCCGCAGCAGGTTCCTTCAAAGGCACTACAGAAGGATTCAATGATGTAAATTCCAGTTTACAAAAAAAAAGAAAGAAAAATTCAGAAGAGGGAATATGACTGGAATCATTCCATAATTTACTTCACTTTGCTTGAGATTCAGATTATTTTGATTTAGGGTTTTTTATAGTAGCCTAAAAATAAGGTATTAAATTTGTCCCTTCATATTTGAAATATCTTGCAAATGAAAATGTGATTTGAATTCTGTTAATTTAATGATTTAGCAGTTATATAACTGCATGTCAAATAAGGCTTTAATAATTAGGTGATGTGGAAAGAAAAATGTACTCTTACATTTGCTATATCTGAGATGGGATTATCAACACTGAAAAAGATTACAGCTCATTGTAAATGAAGAAGAAACTGCTTAGATGGTATCTCAACCCTGTAGTAGCACTATGCAAATATATCTATAGTGTAGGTCAGTGGACAAGTTACATGTACTATCTTCATATAAATGTGACAGTCTTGTGTATTTCATTATTTGTTTTAAGTCAAGCAAGATGGAAGAAACTGAAGAGATGCAGAAAGGATAGTAAAAATGTTTAAACATTTCTGGCAAAATTTCCACTGAGAGAAATTGACACTATAAACTTGTTTTAGCTAAAAAGGAGATCATCAGTCCTGATGATTTTATTATATGCATGCAATAAAAAAATAACACAATCTCTACTGGATACTTCTATTTACTTTTGCCCAAAGCAAAAGAGTAACAGGACATCATTAATTAAGCACAGTTAGTTGATTAAAATGCGTATTATAAAATCAACAAGGATGGAACATTTTCGGTTTTGTTTTTTAAATGGTCAGAGGAAGTGGGTGAAACTGCAGTCTTCACATCATTCTGATTCACTGTAGCAAATGCCGTAATAAATAACTGGAGACCTTACTGATCTTACTGTGCCTATGCACACCAATGTATCAGGTTTCTATGGATCTTTCTGTTGGTCCTTGTACCTCACTGTGGTTTAACCAACTACAACTTTGAAAACAATACTCTCTAAATCATGTATTAAATGATTGCTCAGTTAGAATCAGTATCTCATACCTGAATAGACTACTGTAGGCAGTGGTGCTTATTATTCCATAATGTCACTGAAAGTCAAACTGCACGCAGACCTCTCATCCTTGCTCTGTGGACTGTCCGGCAACACCTGCAGAGGTGGTGATATGAATCCCCGATACTGCTTACTTGACTTGGTTAACTTCTTGAGTTCACTGGTAAAGGAAATGCCTTTTCTTTTGTCATCTCGTGCTGCCTGAAAAAAAAAAAATCAGATCACAGTAGTAGTTTAATAGGCTGTTAGCTGAGAAACACAGAATTAATATGAAGTACATTTCTAAGCAGGTCTCCCCTTTGAAATTCAGTGCAGCTGTGCTTTCATAGCTAAGCACATACTTCTGATTGTTCTGAATAAATTAATAGAAAATTATGCAATCAAAGATACAGTTAGCAAATTTGTTATAAACTTGTATAAAAAAATCTGTGCTTATGACACTGTACCTTTAAAGCAGCAACTGCTGTGGCTTGGTGGCATCTGCTGGAAGGGAGAACACAGCTCCTAGCAGCAGGCCTATACTTCATTCCTGCCATTTTCCAAAGCCTGAGATAAAGCAACAGAGCTTTTCCACTGAGCAAGAATAAAGGGGACTTTATTCCAGTAGTTTTTAAGTTTTGTCCATTTGAATAGTCCTGCTTCACTGGGATGGGGAGCATGGCGCACACAGCCAGATTTTGAAAAACAGCTGGTAGGAAAAGATAAGGATGGCCACGGCATTTGCAGGCTGCGAGGGAATCATGTTGCTGGACATAACTGATGCAGTTATACAATTAAAAGAAGTAAGGCAGGTGCGGAGAAAAGAGGAATCTGATTTTTGCTGTAGTCTTCTCCCCACTCATCCTTATGCCACTGAAATGCCGTCCTCCCTCCCACTGAAAGTAGGTTCCCATTAAACTGATTGTACACCATCTATGAAACCTGCTGCAAAGTATTTAATCTTTTACCTGAACCTGTTCTTTGAGTTTAAGGATAAATTTTCCTGCTCCCTTCCACTTGCTTTGGGCATGAAACACACACTCTTGATCAGAGAGAATCCTCTGGGATGGTTTAGATGTTGAGGACTTCTTGTTTGCTGGCTCTTTTGTCACCTCTTCCAAAAGCACATAATCACTTGGATTTGGATTGCTCAAAATGCTGTAGGAGTATTTGGCTTTGCAAAGAGTCTGTTTAAAAGCAGAAAAAAAAAAAAAAAAAAAAAAAAAAAAAAAAGGCATTCCTTCAGATTCAGGTTACTAAAGTGATTCCTCAGCCTAGTGCTGAGAACAAACCCCACCTGGTCTTGTGTGAAACAAGCCTCCACCCTACCTGTTACAGACCTACTAACTGGAAATGCGCTGCTTACCTGCTGTATGACATCCTGAGCTGTGCTAAAGCGGGGAGCTTTGATGACGGTGCGTGGTTGCTCTGGGGAGACATCATGCACCTGAACAAAGAAACTGTCATCCTCAGAGCTGATGGCTGTGTCTTCCTTTGCTTCTTGAAAGGCATTTCGCTCATTTAAATTCTATAGAAAAAGGAGAGCCAAATTCATGTACTTCAGAGATAACCAATAGCTGGTGGACACAAAATTTTTTATCGCTTGAAAACTCGAGACTGCTGTGGCCCCGTGTCCATTTCATTAGTCTTATATAGAAGATTTTTGACAAGAAACTATTGCTTATAATAAATACTTGTGTTTCTAAAATTGATGTTGGAAATACCTGAATACAGCAGGCAAGGAATGGAGACATATGCATAGTACCACATTACACAAAAATTATCACTTAAATCTTTATTTCCTTATGTGTGCAAAAGTGTGTAATGGTGACATTAAGATGGGAGATGGTGGTAAGTGTCCTTTTGTTTCCTTGTCCCTGCACTAAAGCCAAAATAATTTAGAGAGAAAGGAGTCTGCACGAACATTTTCCTGTGAAGCAAGAGGAAGGCTGCTTCTCTGTCCATTTTTCATGCTCTATGACTACTGCAGATTTTAGAGAGAATTCCTCCCTGCAGCTTCCCTCAGATAAAGCATTTCTCTCCAACCCCTTGTAACACAGCTTGAATTCATAAGCTGTAAACATGGGCTGTGTGACACACACCCTACAAGTGGACCCACTCCTTGTTTTTCCATGCAAATTTGCAGCTTCATTTCTAGCTCCATGATCTGAGGCTGCTACCTGCAGAAAGGCTCAAATTTATAATGTTTTGCATTGCTAGTATCACAGGACAAAAATACAGCATATTTTTCACATATACTAAGATTTGAACCCATGTTTTCTGAAAGAATGGGGTTTGGCAGTGACACATTTGTAGTCGCATACACTTAAGTGTTACAGTCAACTGAAGTAGGCAGGCTACTATTTCCACAAATTTCTACCTAGTAATTTTTGCTCAAAATATTAGAGGAAAACAAAATACATATTTGTTTAATATAATTGTAATTTGTCAAATTGAAGCTTTATGAAAAGTTGTATCAAAATAATCAGTTTAAAATACATTTTTTTCACTTTAAAGGATCCCAGAGGATCTCTGTCATTTGTGTATGTGAAATCTGCGTATATAAACAAATGTGTACATATATTACTATGTTCAGATGAAGCAAGCATTATTATACACTGAACTGACTAAAGGAAGTGCCTCCATTAAGTGTCTTTCTCCTGCGTTTTTGTTTCTCTCTCACAAACCTGGACACTAGCATATTTTCAAGCTGTGGATGTTTTGCTCATAGTTTAAACTGAAGTAATCGCACCATCTTTCTCCTTTAAATTAAAAGAAATCACCTATTTCATTATTTTAGGCCATCATTGATAAATTGATCATCCTTTGAGGTTTTTAGATTTAATACTGAAATCCTTTCTAATTTTTCTGAACAGAGAAGTTGCTGACATCTAAACTGATTGATAACTGTAGTCTGGAGTTCTGTTATCTACAATCCTTTGGTATTAACTATTATCTTTCTTTATACTAATTTCCTATCATGTCAGAATGTAGATTTGCATCAAATTAGAACTATGAGTCAAAATAGTAAGCTAGTGGCACTGAACCATTGGCTAAGCAATAATGATTAAGCACCATATAGCTGATGCTAGAGCTGAACGAAGTCAATTTAGTCTAACACAGGTGTATAAAGTCTAGTTGTGCTTACTCAAGGCCTACATTTGTTTTTAAACAATGTACACAGCATTGACATTACTCACCAAGGAGTGAAACAAACACTGCACCCTTTTGTTTCCTGATACTAACAGCTATTTTTAGCGACCTTTGTAAATACCAATTTATCTAAAACAGACTTACTTCCTCTCGGGCTTTAAAGATAATCCTTCCAACATATCCTTCTTCTGGGAACCAACTGTTCAAAAGCTGCACTAGCCCTTCTTCAGGACCAATCACTCTCTGGAATGGTGGTTTTCTGCATTCACTCTTTTCTTTAGATATAAAGCTTTTCTCTTCCATCAGAAAATAGTCTGCAGCACATGACTCGGTGCCTTTTGTGGTAGCCAAGAGCTAAGACAGACCACAATAAACACATAGCAATTAGAATGCTAAATATAAACACTGCATAATTAGTAGTTATAAATGAGAATGAATAAGGAAGCTTTAAGAATCAGTAACTATTCTGATAGTGCAGGCAAGATTTTTGATGTGCTATTTATTATTCAGATATTTTACTCCAGGGTAATGTACTGTTCTCTTTAGCCTAGCCAAGCAGTTCAACTATTCCAGACAAGGCAGTACTATTTAAGCTTATTTCTGTCCTGTTTGGCTGGCCAGACAATTTATTCATAATCCTAGGACAGTACAGTCTTTTCCCACTGCTAGAATAACAATCCCTGTTGAGTTAACTGGTTTTTCTGCTCATGAACTTAGCCCTCTAACTTTTACTCTGTATTCCCATGGTGCTCAAGTTCAAAGAATTGCGCAGAAATGTTTGCCCTTGTTGTAAGGACAGCCCACTGCCTTTGTTGGTCAGAAAGATTGTTTTTCTCATCTGCATATGCCCAAATATTAAAATACTAACAGGGAATATGTTCTAATATTATAAAAGCATTCTCTGAAGCCAAGATTGGGAATATTTCACTGATGATACTCTGTTTGCAATGTAATCAATTCCATGGTAATACATTTCTAAAGCACATCCTGTGATGAACTGCAATGACCCTGTATGTGAGAAATGCAGGGAGACGTATGTCCAGAATGATGTTAGTGTGGATTCTTGAAATTAGAGTCTGCAATTCAGCGGGTAGCTTACCTGATGAAGAAGCTTTGCAGCCGTGGTCCCACCACTTATATTAAAAACAGTGAAAGGCTCTGGGCCTGGAATTCCATGAATTGTCACTTTGTAAGTCCCAGCAGCTTTCCTCTCCCCCATGCTAAACAACTGTTCAGAAAACATTCAACAGGTTACTGACTGTTTTTACACAAGCATGTTATTTTTAGAGAAACTGTACACACAAGTTGTAAGGATCTTGACAGAGCAAAGCTATCCAGTTAATACATGGCTCTTATGCTACAGATCAAGTCATTAACCCCCACTCCCCCCCAAAACAAAACAAAAAAAAAGACTGCCCTCCACCCTACCTTGAAACAGAAGAGAAAAAAGAAAAAAAGGGAGTTTTCCAGTAAGAGTGCATAAACTGCCACTGGACAAAGGGTAGACCTCCATCACTCACTATCCATTCTAGCTGAGCTCGGACTATTTGGATTCAGTGTACAAATTACTGGATGAAAATCTATAGCTTTGTTTTACCCTCCAAACCATTTATGTTGTTCCTTTCTGCCCTAGTAATTCAACCAAGATACGTGTTTGGCATGTATTCATAGGAGGCTAATGTCTGCAACACATCTGCTGCACACACAGTAGCTCAGGAGGTTTTATCTAACTTTAGGAATCCGCAAAACAATAATATACATGGTTAAAGTTACTAAAACACAAGGAACCCAGGTAACCTAACATTAAGGGCCATTAAAAAAAAAAATTACATCAATCCATGCATACATATTCTGATATATATAATACACATCTGTGTTTGTATGTGTTTGTATGTATACATATTTGTACAGATAAACATATAGATGTGCAAAACCACACATATATAAATATTAATGTATTTACGGAAATACAAACTCCATCTTTTCCTGTGATAGAATTCAATTTTATTCTCATTATCCCAAAGTTGTTAATAATTTGCATCTTTCTTTGTCCCAAATACAGTGTTTATGATTCAAGCATAAAGGAATGCATGAGGCAGCTCTGAACCTGACTGCTCAACCACACTCCTGCAGCACAGGAGCTCTTGTGCTACACCTAAATACACCAGAAGCCCAACTTTGAAAAGATTTACCCTCCCACAGTTTCAGCCCAGTGGGATAACCTTACTTCCACCAAAGCCCAAAAAAGTTAGGCATCAAAGTATTTCTGAAAAATGTGCAGGTTTAGGGGCTGAACAGTCTGATTCTAGAAGTCTTCAGACCACAGTAGTAATTTCGACAAGAATAAATGGTATTAATAAAAAAATTAATTAAATTACCAGAGATGCAGGCACAGTGTTTCCAGAGGGACTTTCTTCCATTCTCCGGCTGTTTATGAACAAACTAGAAATTTCTAATGCTTCATTGTGCAGGTTATGGAGCTGGACATGCCTATAGCCTAAAGAGAAAAACCCTTTTTAACTGCTTTGCCACATCCTAGACACAAGTCTCATAAGTGGAAAACTCAACTTTGCTATATTTATAGCTACAATTTCCCAAACCTATAAGATTTAATGCACTGCATTAACACTCTTTGTACAACAGTGTAACCCAAATGTTATTATCTGCTGAGTGGCTCATACAGCTGCCTACCGTTGTTTTGTGGTAATACTCAATATATTCATATATGAAATAGCTAAATTTTAGGCTATGAATGAAACAAGGACAAATTCTTACTAGGAAAATGCATATCTATGGCTAGATCTCCTCATATGTTATGTCTGTTGTGTGGTATTACAGTGTCATGAAGCAAATATGAAAGTATTTTTGCAGTTCTACTGAAGAGCTGCTGACAATATGGAAACTCCCTCCCCCAGGTATCACAGAATTAATGATGCTTCCTCTTCTCACCTTTTTTCATCTTTCCTTTACCTCTCCTCCAGCCATGGCTGCAAGAAGTGCAATTCCCCTCTGCCCAGTGATCACCAGTTACAGCAGTTTCTTGGGCAAAGGACAAGGCAGGGAGTGAAACCACTCCACACTTCCTAAGGGAGCAGCAAGTCTCAAGGTGAACACAATGTCACAACGACAGCTCAGGATCGGAGCAACTGCATGCAAGATGCCCAGTCTCAGCAACAGTACTGGATGTGACTTTCTACAAGTCACTGGGGCAGCCTCCAGCTACTAGATCAGCATCATACTGCCAGGGAAAAGCATGTTGTCTGATACTTGTTCCCTATCTCCTTTAGAAAAATGCAACCAGCTGATTAAAAATATCCCTCAGGAAGGATTCAGTGCAGGAATCTGCTGGACCATTTTGGCATAGGGTGTCACTACAACCTATACTGTACCTCTTTTTAGAGCTTTTAGGGGAATGATTCTCTGAGCTGTTACAGCTGAGCTATTATTTTCAACAACTGCAAACCGGAGAAAGACCAAATCTTCAAAGTGAACCCGGAAAAGGAACTGTTCATTCCACATGGGGTTGAGAGTGTTGCGATGAATGGGCTTTGTCCGGAAATGGCAGCTATCCAGAGGCATCCCCAGCACATCGATTTCAATGCAGGGACTGCCCATGCTATTGCTAGGGCAGACGTTCTGTCCAGACACAATCTGAAGCCGAGGAGTACAGAGAGAAACCAATTAGTGGAGTAATTCTTTTACTGTCACAATCCTGAATAAATATTGTTTAGCACACTCCTAAGTTCAAAGAATTTGTTAACATGCGGATTTAACTGTAAAACTCCTCTACTTCTGTAATTACCACGGCAGTTGAAGCATAGCTGCTTCAACCCCCCCGCTCCAGGCCATTGCTACGGTATCTTTCCTCTGAAAAAAATACACTATACATCATGAGTGTAACCATTCAAGGCATCTGAAAGTTAATCCAGAAAGAATGTACCAGTAACACAGTCAAAAAGGATCAAATTTTCTTCTCCGTTACTCAGGGGTGATGGCACTGACCTCTGGCTTGCTTTGGCGTATACAACACAAGAATTAGGTGTGCATTTGCCACAGCTGAGAGAATTTTGATTCTTATGAATCTCACTTTTCTGAAACATTTCCTGGAAGGGACTAGCTTCTTAGAATACATTTTTTTTTTGGCCACAAATCCATGAATTATGTATCTTATAACTTTAAAAAAATATTTTTCTAAGGTTCAGTACAGTTTTTCATAATGGCTTTCTGTGTAGCTTCTCAAGTGTTCACAAACGTGTGAAACATCCAGGCACACATTTTACACAGCTGTGTAGTCCCAGGGAAAATGCTTTCAGGACTGGGTTTTGGTAAATACTGTGGAGGAAGCAGTTAAAGTAACTATGGATGCAAACCAGACAGTAAAATAAAATAAAGACAATTATTTGCTCCCTTCCCTTCCAGTTTGCTAGTTATGCTGACCTCCAGAAGTATAAGCAACAATTAAGGGTTCAATCTTTTCATACAGAAGTGTGACTGTAATGCTGGTTAAAGACTATAGTTTAATGTTGTCTACTTCTATCTGTTTGGCTGTATGAAATTCCCTTTTAATGTACTTACTGTTAAAGAATATATAGCTGGCTCTTTATTATCAAGATCTCTTTCTAACGGACAAAACTGCTGGTACATTGAACAATTTTTATCCCACAGAACAGGAGGTTTCAAAACATATCCACAGCCACCATTAGCCTCAAACATCGCTGCATTAAGTTGCAGAGGAAGATCTGTGAAAGTAAGGCAGCCAAAACTGATGAAGAGCAATGGTACAATGGAAAAACTGTTACAGTGAAGACAAAGACATGTTTTAAGTATCTTTCTTGTTGTAGCTGTGTACTATCAATTAATTCCTGGTTTTCAGAGATAGCTGTAATTTATGTATCCAATCTATCTAATATTTACACAAAATTAAAAGAACAGTTCATTCTTTTTTATCCTTCCCTGTTGTCTTTATCCAACTCTAGGGCTTGCCTACACCTGTTTTCTGAGAAGTTTCTAGGTGTTTGCCCTGAACTGCAGAATGAAAAAGCAGTTACTGTGTAGTTTTGTAGATGACCTAATGGGTCCCCCATCAAAAAGGTGAAGGAACACAAGATAGGATAGAAAATGGCTCCAAAATGTTTCAACATTAAACTAGCATCCAAGGTGGCACTTCTAAGTGAAAAAATAGTTCAGTACCTTTTTATACTGGAAACTATCAGAAAGGGGTAACAGCTACTTGAACTGGGGGAAAAAACACCTTCAGCACTAAAATAAAAACAGAAACAGAAGGTGTTGCTGTCCAGGCACTTCTGTGCTATCAGGAAATCTGCTAGTCCTGAACCCTGGGGTTGGATTGTCATGGTATAAACCTGCTTGTGCTAGGGTGCATAGACAGGTAGATCCCCTTGTGATAGCAGGTAGAAGCAAATGTCAAATACAAATTCACAGTCTAAGGACTTATTTCACATTTAAAATGTGAAATTTTAATAAATGTGAACATTTAATAAAATGTGAAATTTAAAATGTGAAATACTTAAAAGGACACATAAAGGGGGCGTACAGGAAAGATGGGGAGGGACTCTTTATCAGGGAGTGTAGCAATAGGATGAGGGGTAGCAGTTTTAAACTGAAATAGGGAAGATTTAGATTAGATATAAGGAAGAAATTCTTTAATGTGGGGGTAGTGAGAACTGGAACAGGTTGCCCAGGGAAGTTGTGGCTGCCCCCTCCCTGGCAGTGTTCAAGGCCAGGTGGGATGGGGCTCTGAGCAACCTGGTCTGGTGCAAGGTGTCTCTGCCCATGGAACTAGATAGTCTTTAAGGTCCCTTCTAATCCAAACCATTCTAAGATTGTAAAAAAATTTATTAAAATGTGTGTTTGTGTACCCATACCATCTGTTTGGTAGTTAAGAGCCACGAGCTGTACACCATGGAGCCAGAAGATCAGCGGATGGGGATTTGAGGAGTCGATGCGCGTAGCAGCAGGGTAGGTCCTCAGGAGCTGACAGGTGGTGTGCTGGATCAGCTTCTGAGAGTACCGCCGGCACAGCCGCTTGGCAGCGTTCTCATTCAGGGAGGAGATATGATAGCACTTGGGCGTCCTTATGATAGCACTGAGAGAAGCTGGGGAGTTGTAAGGAGAGCAAGGCTCTTCCCAGGTCTGCCGCATCACATCAAAAGGACCTGGAAAATAAACAGTACCCTCAAGTTACAGCTTCAGATCCAGAGTCTCCAAGAATTCAATGCCGCCTAGTGAAGTATGTGTGCTTACTTTGGTTATGGTAGAAAAAGATGATCCTGGAAAACGACACTACTCAGTGTGTCACATTCCTTCTTTATACAGTAAGAACAATCCACAGAGGGAACATAATGTTTAAGTATTGAAATGATACTGTGATTAGATATGCTAACAACCATTTTCATAAATAAATACTTAATTGGCATTTGCCTCTATAAAATAAAGGAATAAATTTCCATACAGTCTACATGAGGAAGGGAGGCAAGACTGAAACCCATGTGCTAAATCACCAAAGAGGCAGTCTACAGAGGCCATAAGAGTTAGGGGACAAAGACACCAAAATACTTCTATGCTTTAGAATTATACACTAGACTTCTTCATTTCTAGGACACTGGCCTCTAGAAGGGAATCTACCCTGTCTGCTGCACATGTGATCTTGGGCTGAAATAAATGCAACATTCCTTGAGCCAGAAAATTAGTACAAGAAAAGGCACAACTCTACTTTATGGCATTCACCTGAAAGGCAGGGGATCTGGGTCTCATCCTTGTTCCAGAACCTTTTCTATACTTTCTTAGTATTTGTTTACATCTGTTCATATACAATTTCCAAGCTCACCGAATCACCTGCAGAGCCTAAATAGCCCCAAGGTGGAATACAGGAGTTTGCATGATTACACGTTTGTACTTGGCTGAATTTTAGGCAACTAAGTCCTACTTCAGGCAACTAAGTCCTACTTCAGACACTAAAAATCCTTTTCTGGATCTAGCCCAACAGTTCTGCCTTCCACTTGTACTTTGAAAATATTCATTCATACCTTTTAAAATAGAAATTTTAAGATACATCATGTAAAATATATGTTAGTTTTGAATCGTTTATGAATTGGGGTCTTCATATTCCTGACCAAGTAATCCTATTTTAACATTCCACACTCAACACTTCAGTTATAACAGTGTTACTGTAATAGCTGCTGCGCTAACGAAAAACCATTCCAAAGTTCAACATTTTACACATTGTAAAGTATTTGATCTTTAACAACTTGGTCTGGTATATGTGTTGGATTACAGACTCATTCCACGTGACTGGTGAAAGAAGATGCTAACTTTACCTTTTCCAGATGCTTTGGCAAGAGTAGCTGACTCCCCAGGGCTCAGCCTGCCAGGATTGTTGCCAAAAATGGACTTCCTGCTTTTTCTTTCTTTTCCTCTGCTAGAGCCAGATGGGTTTAGAGTTGACAAGCCTGTTCCCATAAATGTAAAATAAATGAGCCAAAAAACATGACCAAGAGGGCATGACATTTTCCATCATATTTTACATTATTTTTGAAGGCATGAATACTCCTGTTATACAGTACACAGGGCAAGCAGTGTATTTTTCTCCATAATTTAATATTAACATCTTTACATACATACATGCCTTCATATATGTATATATTATCTGTGTTTATATATATAATGTATATAAAAACTTATATGAAGCAATACAATATACAGTTCTCTCTCTGTGATATAACTTTTCTCCAGCTTACTTTTTGGCTTGCAGAAGGTATTATTGGATCTGTCTCAAATTATCAAATGGTCCTAATTAATACTAAAAAAATCTTCAGTAACAGTCGCAATGTATTTGTCCTTAGAATGATTTTTTTAAAAATCATGCAATTCACTAGGATAGGATTCCTGCATAATTAAATAAATGCAAGAATATGATTTAAAGATACAATGTAAAGGAAAAAGTACAAATGCAGTTGGTTAAACAGTTTAACCTCAAGATGCTTTCAGAGTTACCTTCTTCTGTTCAGAATTTGTATTTCAATGATGGGAAATATGGTAGATGTGCAAAATCCATTAGGTATTTAATGACCAATAGGTACTAGAAGTAAAGCTGGAAAGCTATAGTATAGCTATTATTCAAACATATGTATTCTAGCAAAATAATCATTAAAATAATGACCTATATCCCAGTGAAATAAACAGACAATCCCCATTAAGGTCAGTTTCTTTCTGTTGACTTGGAGAGAGAACACAGCAGACCAAAATTAAAGTCAAAATGCACAATAGTTATTATAACACCCACAGTAGTGATGTATGGGATGCTCTTGTGATATAAAATACAACAAAGCAAGTACACTGGTTTTTGCCGAACTGTGACTCACAAAACAACCTTCATGAACTCACATCAATTCACACCTGCCTAAAGACAGTTCTGGATTTAATTCTACTATGTCAACTACAAATACAAATCACAAAGAGGGCTCTCTTCTACTGAAGTCTGTCCACAGCTGTAAATTTTCAGCTCTCAATCTTTACGGCATGTCTACATGTAATTAGTAAAGCTATGCTGATAGTTTCAGTGGAATTGCTTGGGTTCGTAAAATTTAGGGTATACATAAGTGTTTTCAGCGTTGGAGACGTATTGTCTCTCTGGGCCAAAGCATACACATAAACCATAGAAGATGGTAGAAGTTGAGATCAAGGAATATGAACTGACTAGAAGAATGAGGAGTCATGCACTGTGTTTCCAGCACTATTTAATCCCAGTTTTCAATGGATCAAATGGATTTGGCAGGCAAGATCCAGGTTTCAAAATCCTGTTGTGGAGACAGTCACTGAGGAAACAGACAAACCTCATAAATCACCAGAGCGCAATGCAAAATGCCAAGGTTAACTGTACCCAGTGTGGTGGGCACAGGGTAAGATGCAGCTGGGAGTTTTCTCTCAGTCTTTCCCATAGCCATGCTTTTGCATGTGACACTCCTCCTCCCAGAGGCAAACTCCATTTTTCACTCCAATTTAAACTTGACTCCAATAGCATCACCTATTCATAGAATCATAAATTCCTAAAATAATGGAGTTTAGCAAGGATCTGGAATTCTGATCCAACTCTCTGGACAAGCCAAGATCAACTTAGATCTCACCATTCTGCTCATAGATCCTATCATACTACTAGAATGACAGAGTAAACGTTTGGTGTTTCCCTACAACCCCTATGCTCCAAACTTCGAGTTACCGATTTTAGTGCCCATGTCTCATGTTAGATATAAGCACAGTGCTTTACTGCTTTTAGATTTAATCCAGAGGATGGCAAACTTCCCTGCTCCTTGTATTCTAACCATGCTAAAGTAACAGGTTAAATTAATTGTCACCTTCTCACCATGTGTTTCAGACCAACAGCCAGAGAGTATGAGGGTTTGCAAACCTTGAAAAAGAATTTACAGTACTTTTTAATGTAGGGAGACCGTTTTTATGTTCACTTTAATTTCCTGAAAAGTGACACCATAGGGGCGGGTAGTCTGATACAATGGAGATGGTGACTGAATTTCATGCTGGTTAGCTCAGGTGACTCCCAGCTCTCTGCATTTGATTGTGCAGATCCTGTTTTCATGTATTCAACTTCCTCTACTCATTGTGTAAAGATCCTCAGCACCAAGGCAACAAGCCATGTGCCAGTGGGTTACAGCAGTACTGTGCTCAAGTATGCTTCACTGCCCTCACCCTGGGTGACCCAAAAAAACAGATCTTCACCCCCTTAGATAATGGTATGATGATACCCAAGAGACTGAAATTGAAGTTAAGCAAGGACTGTAAGGGTCAAAAAACACTGAAACAACAAGAGCTGTGGTGGATTCTTTGTTACCAGAGATTTTATAACAAGAAATGTTATTTTCTCCACATGATAAATACTGTTTTGACGAGGGAGCACTTAGGGAAGTCTGTGTTACTCAGTAGGCTAGGGTAAGTGAACATAATGGTCCTTGTCCTTTTTTATATTCATGAATTAATGATTAACCTTCAGGGACATAGGCAACTGTAAACATAGAATAGAAATATATGAAGACAGGAGAAAAAATATATACACCACTGATCAGCCACTGAGATGAATTCTGCCCTATTTCCAAAACTTTTTCATTTTCTGAGTCGGTTAGGAACCTGGTCAATAGAGCTGGGTCTACCAGCCTTGTTCTCATTATTAATGGACAATATTGGGGTATGGCAGTGCACCACATCTGTGTCCTCCAGCTAAGCAGAGGAATCCAATCAATAGCATGGTGGCCATGGAAGTCTACATATCTTGAAGAGAAGGCAGTATTTGTCTCAAAAGGAGACAGTTTGTTAGAAAACTAATTTCTACAGCTTCATGAGTTCATCTGTGAAAGGAACTAATTTTCTTAATTGTTCTATTCAGGTCCCCTTTAAAGCAAGAAGAAGAAATCTGATAAGGAATGTAGGTATTTCTTTTATAACTGAAATTACATATAAAAAACTGAAATATTTTAAAGTTTTCTTTGAACATCAGAACTTCTTTGTGAGTCAAAATGCTTGGAACAACTTAAACTATCTCTGTTTAATCTTGAATATCATTCTTTAAAAGAAAATATTTTATTTGAAAGATATCTTATTGCAGATTTCATTAAAAAGAGTATCAGATATTAATTTTTAGAAGTTATTATTTTTACAAGTGACACCTACAATTCTTAAAGTTATAAAAGAATGTCTCTCCATTTTTCAGCATGTTTATCTTGCCTGTTTGACACTATTTTATGTTTGGTTAGCTTCTCTAATCTGATTATAGTTCTATTTGTATAAGATCATGATTTGGCAGAATTTCTAACTTTTCCACAGAGAACCATTCCATTAAAAAGCAGATTTTTAATTCAAAACATTAAAGACATCAATAAACAATAAATTCTCAATTTAAAAGTATTTATGTACACAGTATGAGCCAAAACATACTCAACCTCATGTTTCAGTACTGAAGAAGTAACTATCAGTGATCTCCTCTTCAGTTACTCCCTCTCCTTTTCCTCTGCAAACATTATTCTTCCTACTGTACAAAAGATGATCCTCCTATTTCCTTAACCCCTTCCATAAAGAGAGTGTGTGATTGTGCAATCAGTTATATTCACCCACCCCACAGAACGGCTGCTTTACCCCCCCCCAAAATGGCTCCCCTCCTATGTGCTTAGGAAAGAACAGAAGATGCAGCTGCAGACAAAGGTGAAACACACTAAACTAAGGTTGCTTAAAGAAATGTGACAAGTTCTTCCTGCAAGGTTTTACAAATATTTTCCTTCCTAATTCAGTAGGTCCTTACATGGAAACTCAGAGCTCTTAAGATAAAGCTTTCTGCTGTCTGTCATTTGGCAGTGAAGCAGTTGTCTAAGTTGTGGAGACTGGCAAATTTCACTTTTGTAAACATTGTAATACAGCAAACAATATGTCTTCACATAATTTATGAATACTACTTCTCAGCCAGGAACTATTATTATGTAGACTACCAAATCATCAAGAAAAAAGCTCCTTGACTGCTTCAATTTGAAAATGCTTGTACTAACTAATTCAAAACATAAACATAATGTCTCCAAGAATCAGAAAGCTTAAAGCAGTAAAACATGGCAGTGTACTTACCGGGGAACTTTACAGCTTGACAGTAAATTACAAGATCTGATAGCTCTGGGGCTATCTGTCTGCTTTCCTTTTTATTTTGTGGAAGATAGAATTCTTCACCCAGCTCCATGTCATAAACCTAGGTGACAATTCCAAGAACATATAATAATAAAATTACTGAAAGTACTCTCGCATATCTTACTTAGGTCTTTATCTCATTCTTCCTGTATGGTTTGCTGTCTTCACCAACACATCTTTGTGTGCAGGTTTATGAATCAATACCGGTCACTAGTACTGCAGTAGCATAAAGGCCTCAGAGTCAGTTCTACATTTAGATCACAAACAATCATGTTCAGGAGAAACTACAATTTACTAAACAGCAATGCATTGGTTCAGTTGTCAGATGTCTTAGTAAAAGGTAATGTGGCTATTTGATGTCACAGTGTAGTATTTTAAAGTTATTTAGATGCACAAAGATGCAGAAGATTCAGATGAAATCTTCAGTTTCATTGATGTTAATGGCAATTGGATATCTAAACAGACTTCTGGATCTAGCTTCAATGAAGTCTTTCATTGAGAGTAATGACAGATAAAATTTTCAGCCAAACAGCCTGTATATACAATAACCTCTGAGGACTTTTCTTAAACAGTATGTTGAGCATTTGTTCTATTTAATCTACTCTCTCTGCTGCATTTCCATGCTGTCTACTATTTGTCTTCATTAAAATGCATTTGTCATTTGATGTCTCAGTTACCTAAACTGCCCAAATCCTTTTGAATCTGGTTATATATCAAAGTGTGGCTGAGAAGAAAGGGGGAAAAAGCAGAACTACCTTTCCTTTATTATTGTAAGTAGCACAATCAGACTTCTTTATTCGTTTGGCAGTCTCTTCATTATATTCAAACTGCAGTTTATCACTTGATAATTTATTCTCAGGTCGGTCTTCAAGAATGTTATCTAAAAATTAATGGGATTTTAATAAACATAAAGCCAAACAATTTCAACTAGAGATTTAAATTGAATTAAGAGTATTTGTGGACAATGCTGTGAATCTTATCTGAATAACCAGATGCCGAAATAATGCATTTACTGGTCAAAGCATTCTCTTTTAGTAGTAACTTTCTACTTAAAAAAATTAATGCTCGGCTTTGGTTAATATGTTGCACTTCTTTTTAAAGCCCATCCTTTTGTGCTCAAAAGGTGCTTAAAACAAAATCATCTAATGAATTAAGCTTGCCATCTGAAAACAGCTGATATTCCTGAACAACAAAGAATTGCTCAAGTCCAAACAGAATTAAACACATCAAACATGTACAAGTCTTTACAGCAAGCTTTGACTTTCCTCTCCTTATGTTCACCATGAACAAATCTTTTTTATATCTATAGAAATTCCTCTTCAAAGCTGCATATTTGTCAGAGAATAATACATCTACTAATTTGGTCTTTCTGGACCAAAATACAGTAACTGTCACAAAAGGAATGGTTTTGTTTCGTTCCTGATATTCCTGATGTTTTCACCGTATTCTTTTTATGCATAACCAGTGTCACACATGCAGCCTTCTAGCAGTTCCTGACCAGTTAACAATGCTATATAAAATATCTGCTTGCATTATTAATATGAGGTAGAAACCATATAGTCACACTGTCACATTTAACAAGCTGGAGATGCGGTGCTCATTTCATGCAGTTAAAATGCTCAACCAAATGGCCTTTACCTTCCTGGCTGTTAGGAGCAGGAGAAGCATTAAGGACATCAGCTACAGGGAAATGGAGTCAGAGAGGGAATAAGAGTAAAGGAAATTAAGATTTACAGCCAGAGAAATGAAAATTAAGTGTCAGTTGTAAAACTATTAGCCTTACGCAAACCTAATGTATCAGTAGGGAGAATAAAACTGAAAATCTTTTAGAAAGTTTACAGACAATTATTTAGATTAGTTTTGCCAAAATATTAACATAATTAAAGATCTCAAAGAATAATAATTGTAATAAAGCAGTAAATCATGCCACAGATTGCTTCATATATTGGAAGGTATGAATGTTTCTTGCTAGCTTCAGATTTCTCAAACCTTCTCTTAACTGGAACATTGCTCAAACATCACTGACTACAGTTAGCTTGCAGTACTTTCCTGGCAAGTCGGTTAACAACAGCAATTTACATCTACCCTATCTTCACCCTGTCACACACAAGGAGTATTCTTAAGTAAGCAGTTAGACCAACTTCCTAGCAAAACACAACTAGAAGGCAGCAAACTCACATCAAACTCATAAATTTTCATATTAGCATAAATAATACTGCTATCTCACAAGCAGTTTCAGGTCCTGAACTGCATTCATTAATTTTGTGGCTATTTTTAAAATCATTAAATACAGAAGCAAATGATGTAAATAAGAGACCAACTGGAAAGAGGTTCTGTGCTGCAGGGCATACTCAAGCATTACATCTTCTCTGAACATGATACCTAGAACTTAAAGGTACTTATTAGACTTAAAGTTTCAATGAATGAAGTAGTTTAGTGTTTACCTTGGAGAACATGCCCAGTTGCATCTGACCAACGGCCCATCTAGCTTGGCATTCTCTTTCTCACAGTGGCAATGAGAGATGTTGTTTTAAGAGAGCATCCAGCCACTAGTGATGGTCCACTTCCCTAGTATCTCCTCAACATCCACAACTGCTGAATATTAGGGATGTTGGACCATACATTTCTACCCATAACATTTGCTTATAAGCTGTCCATGAATTATCCAATCCTTTTTCTCAACCTGCTTGATACCATTTGCCTCTGCAATTCCTCATGGCAGAAATTCTAGAAGTTTACTACCAGCTGCACAAAGAAATACTTTATTTTACCTGTTAGAACGATCTTCCACTTGTTTTACTGAGTACCTCCTAGATCTAATGAGCAACAGTCCTGCACCTCTCTTATTCAGCATTTCACATGATTTAGTAAACCTGCTTCAAATTCACCCTTCAGTCCTCTACCAGCTGGAGGATTCCAACCTTTTCAGACTTGTGCAAGGCCACCATCACACTCCCTTTACTTTTTTGGTTGCCCTTCTCTCTAACTTCCTTAACTTCACCATAACCTTTTCAAGATATGGAGGCAAAAACTGGACAGAGAACTCAAGTTGTGGTACATTAAGGTTTTATATTGAAACAAAAAGATGTTTTGTTTTCAGTACTGTTCCTGATGATCCCCATCTTTTAGCCGCCACTGCACACCAAGCTGAGGACTTCAGAGAACTTTCAATAATTCCATGATCACCCGAATTGATTGTCCTGGTTTTGGCCAGGATAGAGTTAACTTTCATTGGGCTGAGAGGGAACACAGCTAGAGGGCAGATCCAGATGGATCATTGGAACATTCTGTATCATGTGACATCATGCTCAGTATATAGGTGGCCACATGCTCTCCCACGCCCCTGTTTCATTTTACAGGTCAGCATGGTGGGATTTTCTGGCGTGGCTGGGATCACTGCTGGGGACGGGCTCTGTACTGGTGGCTGCTCAGTGAGCCACTGTTGCATTTTACCTGTTTTGGACTTACTATTGTTAATGTTGGTTTTGCTATTATTACTAAATTTATTTTATTCAACCTACGAATTTCTTCTTTTGTCCCTCCCCTATTTCACTGGGGACAGGGGGTGGGGAAAGTAAACAACTGGCCGTGTGGTGACTGGCTACCAGCTGAGTTCAAACTACAACATTGATCCTGCCATTGCTGAGCTTAGAATTATAGAAATAATATAATACATCGCCCTAAATGTATTACCTTATGTTTAGCTACACTGAAGCACATCTGTAACTTTTTTGTCCCCTTGATCAGTCTTGTCACCCATCTATGGAGTTTAACAATGGTACAACATTTAACTATCCAAAGGGCTTGGTATCACTTGTACCATCACTGCTGTCTCATTGGGTAAACACACTATGATCTATTTTGATATATTCTCTGAAAAGTACCAATTAAAAATAACGTGTAACCCATTTAGATGGATCCAACTCGTTCAATCAATGCATGTGGGTTTTGACAAATGTCCTTTGACAAAACTTGAGAGGATTAAATGTTTCTGACTCCAGCTGTTTGCTCTAACAGAATCTACCAGCCCCACAGCAAGAGAAGCAAAAACCAAAAAAGATACAGGCCTTCAGCTCAGCCACCTCAGTGTGGCACATTCTGTCCTTCATCTGTAGTTGAATCAAATGTGTCTGACTGAACCAGATTGCTAAGGAAGTAGTGGAAGTTAGTAACTGCAGAATTTTTTATCATCTCTGTCATGCCAATCATTATGTCCAATCCATAAACTGCTCCTAAAGGTGGATTTATGCTAAACTGCCAGTTCCTGAAGGCTGGGATAGCTGCAGCATAGACAGCACAGGAACTTACAAGGCAAGTCAGTAAGGCATGACTTGACATTTTTTCACCGAGTAGCTAAAGCTTTAATAAAGTCATCTTTATTGAACAAGCCAGGGACTCAGTGGCTTCTCTACATTTATGCATGAAGTGAATGACTGATGCTGAAAGTGTAACTAAAACAGTTACTTCAAGGGCCTCTGGGACAGTAACCAAGGAGGACTTTGAAGAATCTGCATCTTAGGTCAATTTAACGGCAATCATACAGATGCAAGGGCTAAGCCTGCTGTGAACCTTGAGCTTTCTGGTGCCTAAACTCCTTATAAAAGGCAATACAGGTGAATGTAGATAGAATACACTATGAACCAAATAATTTTTGCATAATAATATAATTTATAAAGACTTCAATTTTGCATACACTACACATTTAAAATATCTAATGGTTGGAGTTAAAGTCACACTCAAGTCTTCTACACAGTCAAATTATTTTCACAGTATTACAGACTACTGCACCAAAGTGCCGCCAAGAACATTAGTACATCTTTCTGTCACAAGGTAAGATCAGCTTACCTACATCATTCCTGAACTAGAATGTTTACGTACTTTATTGCTACAGTTCTAACAGCAGAACTGTAATAAATAAATAAATAAATAAATAAATGAATGTTGTTACCATCAGAGAGAGATTCATAGTCATAGTCGTATTCATCCTCTTCATCTTCTTCCTCTTCGTTGGTAGGCGTGGGGTTGGTAGTACCATTACTAGCCTGTGCTTGCATATGGGCCAGCTGGTGAGCCTACAGCAACAGAACCATTTATTACATTATTGGTAAGTATTTTTAAAAAGCAAAAGAATTTTCATCACTGTTTGCATCTTATTTTATTTATAAGAAATCAGTAAATACATATAACGAGAAATAAGATTGTTAAGATCAAAGTAAAATACCATCTTAAGGGTTTGAATACAAAGAAAACTTGTATTGTTAGAAAAACACAAAATAAAGATACAAAACCTACTTAATTACGAGAAAATGTCCACTTTGCACACTATCCAAAGCAAGACTGCCTTTTTCCAGTCTGAGGTGTGCTGGTTTTGAAACACTTAAAAATATTTCTTTTAAGATGAAGAATCACAGAATGGTTTGGGTTGGAAGTGACCTTAAAGACCATCTAGTTCCAACCCCCCTGCCATGGGCAGGGACACCTTCCACTAGCCCAGGTTGCTCCAAGCCCCGTCCAACCTGGCCTTGAACACTGCCAGGGAGGGGGCAGCCACAGCCCCTCTGGGCAACCTGTGCCAGTGTCTCACCAGCCTCACAGTAAAGAATTTCTTCCTCATCTAATCTAAATCTTCCCTCTTTCAGTTTAAAACCATTGTCCTATCACTACAAGGGGTGTAGTGGGAATGTCCACATACTGGCACTGTCAGTGTGATTTACTTATTCTGATATAAGAATTCCATTCTAATTCAATTATGTTTACATTTTGGGTAAAAGCAATTAATTTTCAAGGATTCAATCTAACTGCTGACTAACAATAGACATTGTTAAAGTGACGCTACCAGAGATGCAGCCCTAACTTAGAAAACAAAAAAATTCTTATATAGGTATAAGCACTACTTGAATAGCAGAGTCCCCACAAAAAGGGAGTAAGAAAGAGAGTATTTGCCTGGCTTGAATATGAAAAAAGAAACAAAGAAAACTGTACTAAAATTTAATATATACTGTATATATATATATATACACACACATACTCGGTGCATATCACAATTTCTCAACAAACATCAATAGCAAACATTATAGCCTCAGAGCAAAACTTCATTTATGACTATCACATAGAGCATATGGTGCTAATCATAATAATTTGAAGTATTATAAAACTAAAAATACACTAAAAGTTTGTATGCTGTATTTATAGTATATGTCTTGTATACTTATTTGAAAGTGTTTCAATCCACTGTGAGTCTTTCAAGCATGAATACTCGTTAGATTATTCTTGCTGTATGTACTGGAATGGAAAAAACTTCAAACACAAATTAATTATTTCTAACAGAAGTTAGGTCTCACTGGTTACTATTAAGGAAGGACTTTACCTTTTGTTTCAATATATCCACTGGTGTTTGATGGGCTTTCAGCTTCTTGTTTTTAAGCAGGATTTTTCTTTTCAGTTGGCCAGGTGAAGGAAGCATGGGATCATCAGAAAAGTCACTCTCAAATAAAAACTTTGTTACCAATTTATCTCCAAATACATTCTGAAATATCAAGAACATGTGACAGATTATGGAAAATGCCAAGGCACATGCTTAGAATAATTTACCACCATTTATGGCTTACCTTGAAAATTTCAGCCATCTTGCGTTGCTGAGGCAATGAACAGTGGTTTTCTATTGATATGATAATTGGCATGTCAGAGGCAATAAACGCATTGCGATCAATAGCTTCAACTACCTCCTGTGAGAAAGGTCATTGAAAGAACATGTGATTATTTTGCAGCATTCAGTTAACTTACTGTCAGTTGAAAGTGGAGAAAGGCAGGCGTCCGTTTTCCCCTCTAATAAGAAAGAATCCACAATCTACTTTAAAAACAAGCTCCTACAGATCAACCCAGCATCTTGTTACAAAAGAACTGGTAAGAGCTACTTATGTTACGTTGACAATAAAATGACAGAAAATTAAGTACATATGCTACAAAAACTAATTTGAAAAGCATCATGTTTACAACTGAGGAGTCTGATGTAGTCCATAGTTCATGTTCCATTAGGATTTAGCCTATTAGGATTTGTATTTTTCCAGCAGGTGAATTTTTCCTTCATTAGAGAAAAGGTTACTGATTTTCTTCTCATTTTTGGTTCCTATATGCAATTACCAGCATACCTTGAAAGAGATCTTAGTAGTAAGAGTGTGGCCATGATAAATGATAGGCATCCCATCATCGCCATCCCAGCAGTCTAATTCTACACTTCTGCAGCCTTGTAAAAGAACCTACAATGCAATTGAACAGTGTAAGCATGTATAAGCCACAGTCTCATGCCATCAAAACAGAAAACAGACCTTGCTGAGCTAAATGAAAGTCCAGTCATTCTGCAGAAGTGCTGGAAAGAGCAATCTCTGTGGAGTAAACATAACCCACTGAAGCTACAGTCCCCAGATAAACGCACTCCCTAGGCTGAGAAAGAGTGGGAAAATTAAGAAAGCATTTATGTTCTTAGGAGAAGTACCATAAAGCTTTGAAATTCATTCTGTCTTACAGGACACATACAGAAAATGGTTCTTAATGTATAGCTTGATGTTCTGAGGGAGAAAAACATTTCCACATTTCTACCTCCAAAAGCAGCTAAAAATCAACATGACAATTTATTCCAGGTTGATACCATCCACCCATTTATTTTTTATTTATTCATTTATTTATTTTAGAAAGCCCTACTTGCTAGAAAACCACTGAAGAAAGCAAAGAGTAAGGATGAAGGGAAAGATAACCCAACTGTTGGCAGCACAGCTTATTGCTATCAATATTTAGTATGCTTATCATTGAAAGAGTTATCTGTATGACAATTAAATATTTAACTGAAAACAAACATTCCAACAATGAAAATCATTTCCAGCAGAAACATTCAAGAACAAAGAAAAAATTACTTCTGCTATTCAAAACCTGTAATTAGATTTCAGGCAGTTGTGTCCGTAGCTGGCACACCACCACTTCTGTGAGAGCCAGACACACTGAGCCAGAACAAAGCGCCCCTTCTCTTCTGGTGACAGCTACTTGAGGGACAGGAAGAAGCTTTTCTGCATCATACAAACTTTGGAGCCAGCTGAGCTCTGTCTGACTTCTTATCTATTACCAACATAATACTCACATTGCTCTGCACAGTTTTACTACAGAAACCTTTGCAATTGCATTATTCAATGCAAACATGTTATTCGGGCTTTCCTAACAAAGTCTCGCCTCTCTGTCTTATAAATACAGCTAAAGCAGCACAGGAGATGCCAGATAAGCCCTTCTCAATGGTGAAACATTAACATTTAGAGTAATGGAAACACTATTCACAGGAAGTTTGATGCTCTCTCTAGCATTTGGTAAATACACACACACACATATATATAAATATGTATGTACAAACAAACCCAGAACCAAAAGTCCTAGAGAGAAATTGTTCTTTTCCTGTCCACCACCAACCAGGCATAAAGTCTAAAACTAGAACATTCCTAGAAGTAATGTTTTTAGAAGTTACACTTCCATTTAAGATTTGTCTTTGCAGTACAATGCACATTATTTGAGTAGTGTTTCTGACATCTGAATGAACTAAAATATTACATCAGTCTTTCCTGTGGGAAAGTCTAATTTTAGTAGGTTGGGTCAGACTGACTGGTGTCTAAATGCTATGAATCTCAAACTAAACCCATTTTTTTTTCCTTAGAAAAGGCATTTGAGCACAACTGTGCTTACAGGCAGCTTTCCCACACATCATGTTTTCCAACGTTTTGCAAGCATTTAGATTTTCAAAGCAAAAAAGGTCATGTTTCTGTGACTTGCCAGTTAAACAAACAAGTTCATGTTGAAAATTAAACAATGATCCCATCCTGCATACCTGGCTGTAGAGCTCTACCGAGGATTCCCCTTTAAGCTGATGGCCTGTAAGGTAAGTATTGTGTGAAGATTCTATGTAGTAATATGACAGTGGAAAGTGCAAGTCCTCAGCGTTCTCTTGTGACTCATCGTTTTTGGAGGCAAAATTGTCTTTATCCATCAAAAATCTAGAGGTGAAAAGATGTGAGAAAATTTTATGCTGTGCTGATTATTTTGTGACTGTCATACAAACATCAGTAAACTAACACAGAAGTAATTACCTTGCAAATCCTTCAAAAGATAGCAGCCCCTGCTGGCACATATTGACACTGGGTTCAAATTTCTACAAAGAGGAAGAAATTTAAAGAGATATATAATAATAATTCTTAGAAATACAGCTTCTTCATATTTTCATAGTGTAGTCTGCTCACTGAGCTAACCAGCTAGCATGTAAAACCAGTCTTTTTAATTAGGTGCCTGCAGTATTATTGTTTTACAAATCAATAAACAAGCATACTAAAGTCATAATTACATAATATTTCACAGGATCAGTCAGGTGGAAAAGGATGTTGGGAGATCATCTAATCCAACCCCATGTTCAAAGCACAGTCAGCACTTAAGTTGAAATTAAAAAGGATATATAATCACACATCCTTCTCCTATCTGTTGTGCTTAAACGTACCACCACCATCACAAATTAAAGAGACTTGTGGTATGCTAACTTGATGTTTCTTTAGAATTTCTGTCTGTTAAACTTTGCAATTTTGTATTACATGTTGATAGTTGAAATATACAGTTTTTAGCCTTTGATAAATGCTAAGTGGGGGCTTAATTTTGGAGTATATAAATTACTGCATACTTGGAAGAATTCAAAATTTTCTACATACTTTCTTAATTACTTCAGCCATTGTACATAATGGAATAAAACGTCCATGTTTGCTCTGCAAAACTTTTTACAATAAAATAAAAATATGTGGAAAAGGTGGGTTTTTAAAGTTCCAAATTAGGGTTAAGCTCTATCAAAGATGGTCACAGACAAAAAGAAAACAACACACTGTCATGAATACTTTTCCCTAAGTGGTGACATTCTGGATAAAGCACACATAGCAAATAAAACTGTTTATTTGCATGATTTTTTTTTGTTTTTATGGACATATTTATGGACATCTGCACAATTTTATATCCCAGAATAAACACACTAATAAATTTTAAATTCAAGTGAACCAGTGTGAAAGGAGATATCCACACAGATATGCTATTCTGACTACTAGGCAGACAATGCTAGCAGGGAAAACAGAAGTAACAAGAGTTCAAGTAAAAGGAATTGCAAGATGTTTGTATTACAGACCTGGATAATACTGAGGATTTCATCATAGGTGCAGTGTTCTCCTTGGCAATTCACTAGAAAGTCATTTAGCTGCTGGATTCCCACTCCAAATATTCCCAGCGATGTGCTTTCAACTCCAGTACCATTGGTTACTATACTGGCAGCAGCAATAGCATCAGATATTTGTCTCTGGTTGTCTGATAGTTGCTGCCTGCTCTTAATGAACAAACCAAGGTCTGAAACATTCCTAGTCAACAAATCTTGAAAGAAAAAAAGGAAATATAAATATAAATTATAGAATTACATGTATTATATATACTGTATGGAATATAATGTAATATATAATACAGATAAATATCTGAATATTTTAGCACTGACACAGTACATTAGAACAAAATCATCTTGTTTCTATTAACTAATGAAAGAAAGAGTATTAAGCATGTATGGAAACAGTGGGAGCAGAGTCTAAGTGTTTGATTACTATTAAAAAAATCCTGGAACCTTTAACATGGGTTCGCAGCTTCTCACACACTGTCACCAGTCACTGACCCTCCTGATTCCTCTCACCGCCACATACAGCCTCAAAGCCCTTCCTCCACTGTGTACAACCCCTTCCCTTCCTGTGCAATCACTGCTTATTTTCTTCCAGTCCATACAATAATTGTACTGCACCCTCCCCACAGGCTGCTCGGCAGAAGGAATGTTTTCTTTACATGTGGACAAAGCTCCAGACATAGATTATGCTAACGGGAATGTGAAGGGGGACAAAGGTTTCCTTCCCCCTTGTCACACATAAAGCAGATCTACTAAGGAACCAGATAGGAAAAAAACAACCAAATAAGAAACAGGGCACAGCCTCCTCATTCCTCCTCCCTACATTTTCTCAGTGTTTTAGCCCTTCCAGAGCTCCTGAAACCAGATACAGGTCCCTGTGTTGGGCCTATCTGCTCAGCAACAAGTTTTATGCCTCTGCTATTCTGGTTACAAATGTATCTAGATAATGTAAATACTTTTCCACTCCTTCATTTCTGAACAAAGAACCTGTCTTACATCCTGCTAACTAGGTATTGGTGGAGGTTCCGCAGCAATCCTCTACTTATAATGGATAGCTCTTTATGAGACTCAGACACTTTTTCCTAAGATCAGTAACTGAAGCTGTTCAGCAGTGTAACAGCTGTATTTTCCTCTTTAACATACCTAAATCTGGCTGGAATCCACTGCTATTTTCATCAATCTTCAAATTAGTGTAAAGTGGAGCAGGCTCTAAACCAGATCGATTGCAAGGCACAGCATAGACATCAAAAAGGTCTTTCAGATCCTTGCGGCTACGGACACTGCAAAAAGAGTTGAAAAGTTCAATTTTTGCTCTTTTATAAACTGGATAATCTCATTGGATGAATAAAATCAGTACATAATAAAAATATTTTACCTGAAAGACTTGAAGAGCTCTACAAATTCCACAAAAGTCATGTTACTGTCAGACACCATAAAGTTCTGAAACCCCTTCATTCCTCCTTTAACGCGGCCATGCCAGCTACTGCTGCTCCATGTGCTAAAGCAGAAAGAGGCTGCTGTAGTTTGGTCACCTTACATTTCTACATATTGAAATATTATGCATTACTTCATTAACACTTTATTTGTGCTCTCCTTAATGCATTTATTACCATTATCTGGAAGAAGCAAATAAAGCAGTATTTTTTAAGATGCATAATAACAGTTTGTACTTTCTTGTTTTACAGCAGCTATTTTTTTTCCTTCAAGACAACTGCAGACTTTGACAGAATAATAACATATACATACACTATTTAAAACTCTTCCGTGCACAAAAGAGCCTGATGAAAACAGCACAAATGAAAGCATTCTCATTTTCCCTTTAAAGAAAACAATGCCAGTAGCATTGTAGCACAGGCTGTTTATGAGGTTCATTGAAGATTTGCTAAGGGAAAAATAAAACATGGATGTAGAATTCCTTAAAGCTCTGCACTGTCAAAATAAGATAGTAATATTCTGACTGGATATGCAAGAAAAACAAATATTTTCCTTATGTACGTGGGGTTTCTTATATCTGGGAGCATTAAAGGTGCAATTTTAAGAAGCATTATGTTTCCCCTTTCCTGGCACTCAAACCTCACTGTTTCTCAACCCATGGGTTCCTGGACACTCCCCATGAACAGTCAGGATTTCTCATCAGATATCTCAAAGACAGATCAAGCTACAGTCCTCCTCTTCTTTTAGGCTTGGACAACAGCCTCTGGAGGCCATCTCCTTCTAGAAATGAGGTTCTAATGATTTTCTCCTTTCAGCTTTGAGGGCTGAAGGAAGGAAAGCCGAGTAGAATTTATTGAGAGCAAAGGCAGAAAATGATCATAGAAACAACTGACTATTTGGTGCTAATTAGTGTAGTTGATTTGAGTAATGCCAAGTCCGGCCAATTTCTTTATAACTGCAATTGTTAACCTAAGTTGTGCAGCTGAACAAAGTTTTTGAAGCACAGCCAGTACATTTCCAAAAGCCACATCCCAAAATCTTTAGGCTACTACAGGATTTACACTAGTAGCTGTAGTTAGGCCCTAACTTGAACTATCCCTTGAGCAGTATGAACAAGTGAATTTCATGTACTAATTTGCAATAACAGACTGAGCTCATGAGGCCCTTCCTGGGCCTAAACACACACTGCAGGAATAGGATCCGCCAGCACCAGCATCCTGAAAAGGGAGGGATCTAAGCAGCCAGCACAAATATAAGAATTGTCTAGTTTAAACCATAACTAACTTCAGAAGTTAAACCATAACTAACTCCATTTTGTTTCAAAATATCAGGCTAGGTGACTCTGTGTCAGACTTTATTGCTCTGCAATGTTGAAGTCTACAAACCCATTAATCTATGGCTTCTGCCATTAGGTTCAGTACAAATAGTTCCAACAGCTGTGATGGAAAAACAGGAACAGCTTTTCCAGTGTTCCTAAAGACACTTGCAAGCAGATGACTTTTTATATAAATATGCTAGGTCAGATTCTTCAATCCACTCCTGGCCTAGGATGGATGCATGCAATTGAAAACAGAATGTGATTTAAAAGTACAAAAAAATACCATCTACTTTAGTTGATAATGTTCAAATTTGTCTGACATCACTACGACAAGTAACACACTGTATGTAACTTTTAGGCTAAAATAATTTCTAACATTTTTAGCAGACAAGAAAAATAAACCATGACGAGGAAAGTCTCTTGACTCCAGAAAACAGACTGGAACTGTAGAGTACTGAACAGAAGACCAGCAGCAGATGATAACGCTCAGCATTTCACCAGATCTGATCACTAAAGAGTACCTTCCACAATCATTCCATGGGTAATAAATAAACCCCACGAAACCCCATTACCACCACAACCACAGCTGTAATTAGTACCAGTCTGGATTATACCTGTATACAGGTAATGAGAGTTACCAGCTCAGTTTTCTGTGCTCCAAAGGCTTCTGCACAGCCTGGTGAGACCCTCTGCTTCCCGCTCTCCTAAACTCTGGTTTACTGTGAGGCATCATGCACAACCAGCTCATGTCCAACACTGCCTCCAACTATGATGCCTTGTCAGTGTCTGAGTCTAAATCCAGATACTAATCTGAATTAATAAACGCTTTTGGCTCTAATTTGTGCAGAGCCATATAAATGTATACAAGCACTCCCAGTGGATCCTGTATTTTCCAGGTTATTTCATTATCTAGGTCATTCCAACTTTCTGTTACTTTGTAAAATGGATACTTCATTTTATCTTAATTTATGATGCTACTGACAAAACTGGTTGGTATAAATAAGTATATAACTTGATTTTTATGAGACTGCAGATTTAACAACAAAAATGGAGCAAAAAGAAACAAAAGAAGTCTGTGTTCAGCCTATGTGGGTTCCCAAACTTACCCTGCTTGTGTATCACTGCTGTTAGGGACAGCAGCTTCTAGAAAGATTATTGCGCTGCTTGCAGACTATACATACCATGGCTTGTAGACCACTGCCCCAGTCTGCTCCTCCATCAGTTATATTTCTACTGCTAAAGGCATCCATCTTGCCACTTTCCCTGAGTGGGGCAGAAAGACTCAAGTTCACATTGCTCTGTACTGCCCAGCAACTGGCTCAGGTCTGGTTTGGTACCCCATGGTGCTTGTCTGTCTCTAAGATATCATTTTCATTTTTGTGTGTGTTCTATCTGAAGTGGCTGAAATAAACCGTGGCATATGTTACTGCCTGACAGACTGCCATTCATTTAATGTAACACCAGGCAACAGGACACACCACAACTGTGGGTGGATTGTCTGAAGGTACAATCCTTGCTGGGAGTGTGTCCTACAAGACATTATATAGAGGATAATTTAATACTAAGCTCACCATCCAAACTATCAAATTACAGAACTCTCTGGAGCAAATATTCCCAGAACTGCACCTAAATTCCATTTTGGAGGCAACCAGCTGGTTTACTGTAAAAGAGATCCCAAGAGTGAATTAAAATGCATATAGGGTGATTGCAGGACTTTGCAGCAAACCAGAGTGCCAACTATTTGATAGCTTAGACTTATTAATCACAGTTGAGGCACATGTAAAGTGTCCACACATATGAAAACTGGCAAGCACAATTCAGACCTATCAAGGGTCTGAAGGGTAAATATCAAGAATAAAACTCTCTCCAATGCTCCAAGTCTTTTTAATGGTTCATGGTCAAGATAATGGATAAAACATGTAATTCTGTTCTGAGGAAGATTTCCTCAGGACAGATCAAACAGCCATACAGCTGTATCTGAGCAAATTCTAGCAAGAAGGGTCATATCAAGCTGGGGCAAGCTCTACCAAGTGACACTGTGAAGCTGCCAGACAACTTTGCCAGGGAAAACCTGTCATAACTCAGGAAGGCCCACAGTGATAAACTGCACAGGGATCTGTATAGAAAGCCAGGACTGAGAGGATTTAAAGGAATATTAGCTGTCCTTCCCCTGGGAATGTGATTTCTCCATTGAACCTTTTAATCCAATTTAGAGAACAACAGTTATTTTGGCAAAAAAGCAAAAAGCAGATATGCAAAACAGAGAAGCATCTTCCAGAGGTAGTAAAGAAGTATTTCTTCTTTTAAGCTAAAAGAAAGCTGTTCCAATCCTTAGAAAAAGAGGAATGTCCTACTGAGATACATCCTAGTCTGGTATGTTCATCCCAAGGTTGTGAATGACAGGAAGAACAAAAGTAAAGAACATAGTAAGAATCTCAGAAGGCAGTGTTAAGAGAAGCAGCCAACTATAGATATCCACAGGTGGCTCTACTACTCACACCTATTGCTAAACCCAAAATGTTTTAAGTGAAAAAAAAACAAACCCAAACCCTAAGAAACACACAACATAAACCATTACATTAGACATGTCTCTTCTAAAAAAATGTTCCACCAGCAGCAGTAATCTCTTCCATTGTTTACCACTGTCCTCCTGGAAATGCCGAGATTCATAGTCACCTCAGTATTCATTCTGTAAAAAAGGCACTGGATGGCCTCTGTTGAGACTGTCTTCTTGTATGTCATAAAGTACCATCCACATCTTTGACATATTGTTGTTATATTGTTATTACTACAACTACTACCACCACCACTACTACTATTTATAGAATTAATACAATAGTGCACTGTGTCACTGAACAAACACAGCATAACCTTTTCCACTGCCTAAGTGACACCAAAAGAACAAATGTTCAAGGAGAAAAGGCCAGTAAGAGAAAGATTTCAAACCTGTTCCTCCAATTCCCTGACACAGCACTGCAATCATCACCAGGAATGTTAGCAAAAGTTAATACTCCCCCAGGTAGAAACGACTTGTGCTGAGAAACCTCAGAACTTCAGTTTGCACATCTATAACACTTCTGTTGATATTTATTATACAGAATATGTCTATAATTACATTTTGAAGAAGATCTGGAGAAAGAGTTAAACTCCATGTCTGTGTAGTTTTGGAATAGCATTCCAATCTGCTTCTGTAACAGCCATAAACAAAAGCATACTGCTCAGGGACTCACTACAAAGCCATCCTCAGATTCATGGTATTTCGGCTTAAATGTCCTGTGCTGTTTTACAACGTGTTTTAGATGTCTATCAAAAAGCTAATGACATTTCTGACATTGTTTTTGTCAGATGTCAGTCTGGCACAAAAATACACTTTATGATAATTAATTAAGCAACATTATCATTTTTTTCTTCTTAAATCAGAGCATTGATTTTGTCCTTACCTAGACTGACTCTTGCTTGAAGACATCACAGGAGAAGACACTGGTCTTGCTGGTGAAGATGATGTAGCTCCTAAATTAGGAGATCCAGATGCTGTCAGAGAGTGAGCTCTTCTTGATGGCAGGTTGTTAGATGGAGAAGCATTAACAATAATATTTTGATCTATGGAGAAAAAAAAAAAAGTTTGCAGCACAATTACCACATCTGGCCCAATAAAAATGCTTCTGTCCAAGGGACCTATATCATAATTAATTAACACATAGAAAGACACTAAAGGGATTCTAGATTTGTCCCAAGACTGTCAAAAAAATACATTCTGAACAACACTTAAATACCCATTTCATCTGAACGGAAAGGAAGTACTACTAAAACTAAATGAAAAAACAATCATAAACAACTACAAAAATAATTTAAAAGTTTATAGCATTTGGAGTTGCAAATCCATTTTTAACACCATCAAAAATGTCTGTATAAAAAGATTTTAAGCAAAAGCCTGAGGGACTTTTAAGTACTGAAATGATATATCTACCTGGTTCTTGTTCATCAATATCTTGGGGATCCGAACCACTTCTGTTACGATATTCCTTACTGCTTTTTGCCTTCCGAGTTGCCATTTCATCATCAGTGGCCTCTCCACTTTCCCCCTAGAAATAATGAGCACCATAATAAACATCCCAAAAATGCTACTATTCCCATTCTTCATCACTGCATTCTATAACAAAACCATAAGAAAAATCAGCTATTCCTTATGAAACAAGACTCCTGTAAGGACAATACTTGTAGAAAAAAGAAAACTTAAACAGGATACATAGTAAAGTGTGGGACCATTAGGTGTTACTACAGTTTTGACATCACACAGGAGATGAGAATGATCACGTCTCTCTAAAGTGGTGCAGCTGGTTTTATACTATTTCACTGGTGCATAGGAGCCCTAAAGAGGATGGATCTTGTCATTTGAGAATCTCCCCTACCTGCTCGCTAGAACATGTGGATAGCATATTGCTGCTAGTCCCTGCATTCTCCTCTTTTGACTATTGCTGAAAGTGGTTGAGTCCAAGAAAAGAGAGGAGAGTGCCAGACAAAGTCCAATGTTCATGTCACCCAAGTAAGATAAAATTGCATGCTAACCTCAGATAGAATAACTGTGGTGATGTTTTTGGGAACATGAAAACAAAAAGAAGCAAAGAAACTGATACCAGCCTTCAAACATCACTTTTCATGTTAACATTTCTGTTACCACCAATATTTTACCTTTATACTGAGGTAGCACCTAAAGATCTCAACAAGATTCTGTCCTCTTCTGCTAGCCCCAGCACCTACATGTCCTGAGAATGCTTCAAGCATGAGAAAAGAAACCCAAGCTACTGGAAAACAATAAGCCCCAAACCTGAAACTACAATAAATACTTTTAAAATTACCATCTAACTTCTTTTCTCTGGTTCAGAATACAGTGAGCTACACAGTAACTGTAGGAATAAAACAAATCAGCCAGATAAGCAACAGAATACGTGATCAACAAAATATTCTACCCTCATGAGTACTTTCTTCTTTTTCTTAGCTGTACTTATTCCCAGAGTGTTGTTTCTCTGTACACTAGGTTTCTCGGTGCTTTTGGTAAGAGTTCCCGTGCTTGTGTTCCTTGCACTCCATCGTCTGCCTCCAAACAGTTCAACAGCCTGAGCCAAGGTGGGGCCTTCAAACCTTCCATCCTCCTACAAAAATTCTCAGCATTAACAAAAAAGGGAGAATAAGAGCAGACACATTTTCTTAAGCAATAATATAGACATCTCTAAGGAACCAATTAAAGACAAAACATCAAGAGCAGGCAATTTTTAATTACTGCACGAATACCAGAGGGTATTTTGTTTGCTATTTTGGGGGTTTTTTTGGCCATCACTCTCATCACTCAGTATTTCATCACCCTTTTCAAGTACAGTCATTGCTTTTTCTTCAATAAAATATTTATTCCAAAACTCCAAGCATATGAAAAGCTTCACAATAAAAAAAGGTTTAACTTCAGTGCATTGAAAACATGCAAGGTTTGACAGAACATTATGTGGAGAATCTGATCTGACAAGCTGTGTTATAAAGTTGGAGATTTGGTGGTCATCTTTAATCCTAGCTTAATTATAATAGAAACTAATTGCATTATATTAATTTATTTACATGTTTGAACTTCTCTTATGCAAAATCACCACATCTCTTACCTGGTAAAGGCTGACATACTGTTTCCGTAGCCACTGTAGTCTTTGATCAGGGAATCTCCTCATTTTTCTTACGGCTTTAGTCAATTCCAGCAATCCATCATATAGCATTCTCGCAGTATATTTTGGAGCAACAAAGTGCAGCAACTTATTATCAGTAGTCTGAAGTCCATAAAGTAGTGTTATACCATTTTCTTCAAGGGACATATTACAAAGTTTATTTTGAACACACACAGTGTGCATATCAATGCCAGAGTGTCCCATATATACAGCCTTGGCTGAAAACAAGTCCAAAAAACCTTCCATCAGTCCAGTATTACCAAGAAACTGGTATTTACCAAGCTCAGCAGTATTACCCAGCACACTCAGTTTTGCCTTAGCATTTGCAGGGCAAACCGTTGTGGGTTTTGTCCAAGTCAAAGTACTATTGTCAGGCTGAAGTTGAAGAAAGCAACGTGCCGAGAGATGTGTCTCCTGGTCATAATGAATGACAGTTGCCCCTTGTTGCATGAACTGATGGACGTCAGCTCTTATAGATAACACGTACCAAGGAATGAGTTCTATCCCATGGCAGAAAGCCTTTTGCTGCTCTTCTGTTGAATTTGTGTCCCACTCTTTCAACTGCTCAAATATATCACTTTCGGAATCTGAAAGATCTCCGATTATAAATCTGTATGTGATCAAAGATGAGAGACTTGTATTTAGTGATACATGTGCTGATTTGTTCTGACGATTTTATTTTTTCTGCTGTAGTTAGAATAAAAATACTATTGTTGTTATATAATTTGGATTTACAGGAACATCTGTGGTTTTTACAGTATTACCATTTATGTTATTGCAATTTTGAATTAATTAATAGATGTGGATACAACTAGTTACAACTCCAGTAACGATATAACTGTATTTGCTTTAGAACTTTCCAAACATCACATTAACAATAAAAACCATCTATTTGGATCCTAAAGCCAAGTGATTCCAGTTTCTAAATCCACAGCATAAGAATGCTTCAGCTGAAATATCAAATACCGTCTGTGGCAAGTGTTAGCAGGATCTAGTGGATTGAAGACAGGACTTGTAATGCTCCCTTCTATTATTGATTTAATGTTCAGATCTTTCACATTATGTAATTCCCTGATTAACACTTGTAAAATAGTAGTTAGAATACACAGCTTCCTCATAAGAATGCAGCAAGAATGTTATCAGATACCTGCCCTTAGAAAACTTAATTTTACTTAAGCAAAATATTAACATGAAACTTGTATGCAGCAACCAAAATTTTTGAAATATTTTACCATAATTAGAAATAGTAGATACAGAGCAACAATACTGAACTAATAAATAAGGTAGTTTAAATAAAACTTCTTCCCTGCAGAAGCTTCTAACATGTATGAATGCACAAACGCTCAGTATTTTGATACTGCTTTAATAAATTTAGTTTTCCCAAGGATATCGAGCCAGTAAAATCCAAACCAGCTTCTTCTGCATATTCTTCAAGGCATCTTGCCCTAATACCCTCAGTGCTTCCCCTTCATATCACCACAGTACTCTCAGCTCCTGCCCGTATCCCACTAGCTGAGCAAAAGACAGTTCAGGTTGTGACTTGTTCCCAGTCACACATACTATTGCCCTAGTTAAACTAAGTTAAACTCACATAGTATCTCCGTAAGCTAAGCAACATGGATAACCATTAGCACCTCCTCAAATTTTTCTCTACTCAGGCCACTAATTAATTTGAATTTTCCCTTTATTCCATATAGTAATTTTAATTATTCCCTTGCAAATTTATTAATCAGTGAGATCTCTACTTGTCTGTCAAATTTAGCAAAAAGGTGACCAACAAACAGGCTGAAGATTTATTGCTTGTGGTGAGGGGACTGACAAAGGTAGAATATCTTTATCAGCTTTGACTGTAGCTATATTTCCTTCAGAAATATTCCTAACAATAAGGTCATGCATTATAACTGAGCTGGTATAAACCATCTTAGCAGAGTCTTACCAGATACACGTACATTAAAATATTTACCTGTCTAATATAAGATTAAGATTTTTAAACTAAACAAACAACTAAAGCAGCACTTTCTCCTCCCCGTGCCCTCAAAACAATCAATGCTAGAAAATGTATTCTGAGTCTGAGACTATGTGCATAGCTGGAGGACTCTAGTATAAGGAAGACAGAAATGGCAGAGCTTTGTTTATGCCTTATTTCATGTTTGATAGCACTAGCATGCTGCGGATTAAAATGTACAAGGAGCAGATAAACCAAGCACACACACATAATCATAATCAGAAACATAACCTCTGACATGAGCTGCCAAAAGCGACACAGCTATCAGTTACTGAGAACACACTTACAGAACTCAGTTTGAATCGGCAGCTTTTTTACATATGCTGCACTGAGATGCAAGAAATGAAAAGAAAGAATAAAGGAAACATTAAAACAGATTGCAGTTTTAGAGAGGAAAATTGCATTGGATACAAAAAGGAAAAAACGAGGTTCTCTCCTATTACTTTAAAAGGTATTTACTGTAATTAGGAAAATCTAAAAATGAAGATGACATCAAGATAATGAAGTGATGAAACAAAGTTTAGAGTATCTTGACAGGTCATCTGATTTAACAATTCTATAAAAAATGTATTTAAAACTTGCAATTTTTTTTTGTCATTTCCTGCCTACCTTTATTTGAGAACTGTCAAGACAGAGTTCTACTAAAGATTAAAGGTTTATATTTATCTGGCATGTACAGAAATTCAGGGTGATTAGACAGGTCACTGATTGGAGAGTGATAGTTTATTTGCTAACACAACTAGGAAAGTAATTGTACCCATTACTCACTGATTTTATTAGATGCCTTTCATTTTCTTCAGATCAAACTAACCTACCAGCTTTGATGAGTCCATGTTCCACAATACTAATCCAAACCAGCCAAAGGCAAACTAATTAAAAATCTTCCTTGCAATTTCAAAGTAATGAGAAACATGTTATATAGTGTATTTTTCCATCTTTATGACCACAGTATCACAATTATCAGGTAATATATAATCCTTATAAAATTTGGATTTTATAATACTGTATGCAAATATGCCTCAGGTCTCACAAGAAAGATGCCTAAGTTTCTTCTTCAGAACTCTTTAGCTGTTCATAGCATCAAAAATAAACCAGATATTGAAGCCTTCATACATCAGGGACAACAGAATATGGACCTTCTATCTCAGCAGCAATTTGTCCCTGTGCCTAACCCAGATCTCTGACTGCCCAGGGTGGAGATGGCAGGTAAACAATGGATTTCCACAGTCTATGAGGTACTTCAGCTAAATTAATACTTTCAGAAGTATTTTTCTACAAGTCATTATATTGTTAAAATCAGTGCTTACTCCACCAGCATTCCAGATACTGAGTAGTCAGTAGCCTGAATTAGGAAACATAACTTTAATTACCAATCCGCAGTTTTGTTAATTTAACTTTCATTTCACCTTTTTTCCCATTTAATTTCTACTGTATTAGACTGGAACTTACTGAATTATATTTAAATATAAGGCATAAATAACTAATTTACCAAGAACTGATTTCATTAACACATAATAAAGAGAACTTAATTTTCTCCATACTGTTCTTTTATATTTAAATTCTACTTTGTTCATCCAAGTGAAATGTCAATCTCCCTAGCTCATTATCCATTTGAACTGTGAGTTGCAAGCTAATTTTAAAGCACACTAATTAACAAAAATAATTCCTTGAAGAATTATTTGAACTGAGGTAAGTCAAACGACAACATAATTGGACAGGGAAGTGGGTCTGTCTTTCTTGGCTTAATCTACTGCTCCACTTTCCAGAAGCAACTGAAGCCAGATGTGAATAATTCTATTAGAAACTATTCTTTCAGGAAATAATTATTATTTATTTGAAATTAAATTTAGAATTGCATGCTAATGAAATAAATGCATTTAAAACAGGAAGATGGTAGTTCCTTCTCAGGCAGTCAGTTATTAGATTTTATGTGTAAGTAGCCGAAACATGTTGGATACTTCGGAACATGTGGTTATTTCTGATACACATTATCAGTGAAATAACCTAAGCAGTGATCTAACTATGTTCTCTTATGCAAGCCCTCATATAATTTTACAGCACTTCACCTCTAAACATTACAGTTCTGTTGCTTAATTTGAAGTTACTCTAACACAGTTACATAGTTCAAAGCTGACCCACCTATGTCTATATGGGCTGCCACTTCACTCCAAAGCAACATTCTAGAAGACAAAGTGATGTCTTAAACTTTGCACCTTCCCTAATTCTTGCTGGTGAGTAGTACAGAATATACCAGATCTTTGAAGTGAAAATCTGAGATCAATGAATACTGGGTTTTTTACATGGGGCCCAATTAAAGTAAACTTATGTGCAGAATAGAAGAACAGCAACCTGAAAATTCAAAACGTGTACTGACTTACAAATGTTTTCTGGACATAATTCAAAAGCCTCAAATGAACATGTCCTTAAAAGAAGAGGTCTTTTGAAGGATAATAAATAACCTTTATTTTGAAGGGGGAGAACGCTGCCCAAGCATGCAGAATATAATGTTCTGAGCTCTGATAACAGATATGTCCTGGTGCTATTCCTGTCACCACAGATCAAAATTGTAATCATAACTGTGGATTTTTAAAGCTCTGTGTGTAAGACGAAAAGGATTTACCCTTATCGTAAGAGGAAGTAATTACATCATGAGGGAAAATATAACTATACAGAGAGTTTCTAAGCATTTGAGTATCAAATACTTAGCATAACTGCAGTGGAGAAAACTTCTGAATTGGAAGATTAATACAAGGGAAGATGTTAAAGTTGCCCTTATTTCTAAAAGTGAGCCTCGGTAAAAAGAAATTAAAGATTAAAGCCATGAAATATATAGATGATAGAATATAAAATGAGACCTACTGGTACCGGTTTTTGTCCTTCAAAGAGTTTTTTCTTGAATCGCTCCCTTCACTAAAATTGTCTTCACCCTCTTCTGATTCCAAACTGCGATTGCAGCTCCGAATAGTTTGAAATATATTGTTTGCTGTTGATTCTTTTTCTGGATTATTTAAACCATCTTGGCCTACTCGTTGCAAGAAATTATCTTGTCCACTGTAATCTGAAACAAACTAGACATAACTAAAAGATTAATATAGTAATAAATAAAATATTGTGTCATAGAAGTCCCACTTGAAAATTTTTTACAAGAATTAAGAATATTCAGCACATATTTCCTATTAGCTTCTAATGGGATTTTGTACCTTCTTCCAATCCTAAACAGATCAAATCACTGCAGAAATTAAGTAACATAAATTACAGTAACTCCTGAAAACTTTTCAAAAGCCTCAGTCTTAATCTTTTCATGTAACAGGGGCATTTTTCTTTTAAAACCAAAATGATAAAACTGAAAGGAGTTGCTTCTTCTCATAGACGAGAAGCTTGATCCACTGAGCTTCTGAATTCTGTTTTTAAGGAAATTAAAACCTTCCAATTCCCAATGAGTTATGTGGAAGGTCAAAGTATTTAATAGAAAATAGTTACGTCTTTAAGGATTTAAGTACTTACTTTAACCAAAGTATAAACATGATCCTTTGGTACTAACCTTAATTTCTTAGTACTCTGCTACTGAACTAGGTATAAACAACCAAATCTAAATTGCTACAGTAACTACGGGAATTAGATTGAGGTCCACATAACTGAACAGTTTGGTAACAGACTGGTTTAGAAATATTTAATTAGATAGTGACTTCATACAAAATAATATAATATAAAATAATATAAAGCACTGGATGGCTATGAACATAACCTCTTAGAATATCAATCTCATTTACCTCTAATGTTTCATCCTGGGAGTTATATCGTGGACAGAGTCTGATAAGGCTTGATGCTCCATCCAAAACTTCACAAAGCTCTTTTAAAAATACACCACAGAAAGGAACAACTTTACAGCCTGGAATATTGAGTGCCCGGTTGACCACTTTCCTGTATTCAGATGATGACTCATGTTGTGCCATGGCATCTTTTAGACTTCGCATCGTTTCAATATCAGACTGGTCCATAAATTGCCACATTTTTAAAACTTTTCTTGACCTATTGCAAAAAAAAGATCACAATATCTATTAAAAAAATTAAAATCTATTTACATTAAACCAATTTACAACCAATTTGTGGGTTCAACACCTGCAGCATATATGTAATATAGGAAATTATCATAATTACTCAGAAATTAATGAAGGAAATCAAGGTCATTATTTTTGAGAATACTGCTTAGTGGACCGTTTTTCCCCTTCTGAACTATTAAAGAGCAAAACTAAAAAGGAGAAAGAAGCAGCCTGACTAATGGTGTAACATTTGACATTTTAATAACAGCTCAGCTTCATAAGACACACAAGTAGGCTTTCTAACGTTTTCATCGCGTCATTGCCTTAAATTTATAAGGGCCTGGGAAGAAATTAAAAAAAAATAAGGAAATGGCATAAAGATAAACCAGATGGTTTATTACAAATTCCTTTAGTCGTATTATGAAAAATCCATAAAGTTAGCAAAAGTTTGGGGTTTTTTAATTAAATTTATTTAAAATAATTTACATTGATTTTTTTCCCCCCATTTTACTCACAAAAGAAATTATGTATTTTCACAGAAATAAGTAAGTCAGGACCATGTTCCAGCTCTCAGGCAGCAATGCAGTGCTGTAGTTTAAAAGAATCTTTGATTTCAAACAGAAACAGCTCCTGGTGCTCCCCATGGGCTGCAAGCACTGCTGAGAGTTCTCTCACCTTCTGAGCGGTATGTGTCTATGCAGCGGTACAGCCTTTCTACACACCCCTGGCCCCAGACATACCAACAGGTCTGTAGAAACGCCAACAGTAGAATATCCTTAACCACACTTTCTGTCCCTGTCCCTGCTAATCAGCACTACCCTTTCCTTTCCTGTCTTTCCCTCGTGCTGTGTAGATGCATTAGAGATAAAATAAAGCCCTTAACTGGCTTTGCATTTTCACTCACAACTTATGTGGCTTGGAGACTGTGGATGTATTCTGCTCCCCATGCCTATGAGTGTTTCAAATGTGTTTTATAAACCAAAAATGTAAACAAATAGCTCAATGAGAATCCTGACTAAACCACAAAGAGCAACAATACACACACTTTAAAGCTCTGTCACACAAATATGATATACAAGGAGGGTCAAAGCTAAGAGATGGGAAATCTGATCTTAATGCATCTCTGTTCAGTCCAACTTGCTGCACTCTGAACTGCTTGTGCAAAGGCACTGCTTTCCTCCAGGTCTGGCTATATATATAAGATCATAACAGCATGAGATTCCAACATCAGTCAGTATAAATAAATTGGAGGCACTAAAAAAGGAAGTTTAGCTGTTTGGGTTTGTTGGGTCTTTTTGTTGTTTTGGGTTGGTTGGGTTTTTTCTGCAATTTAAGACTGGCTCTTTTAGAATTTTAGAACAATTTTAGAATTGTTACCACAATTATGTTTCACTTGTGTTCTGGAAACTCCAACCCCAAGTTACGTTAGTTTTAGTTGATTAGATAAACCACAACTGCTTTCCCGTCTTCTTATCATATTTTTTAAATTTCTGTTGAAAAAAAAAGCGTGTTTTCTAATTCAGCATTTAGCATGTAGTGGGAAAACTGATGGTGTCTCCAGAGCATTTTGAAAAAAACAGCTTTTATCATGCTTCATTCTTCCAAAAGGGATTACTAGAAAGTCACAGGGTGAGATGATGTGATTTAGCCATGGATTTCTGCTTAGTCCATTGTTCTCCAGAGACATCTGCTTAACAGAAGCTGCAGTATAATCTACCACTGAAAAGCCGCTTAAAAAGAGTTGCCAGTACCTTAGCCCTGCCAGAAATTCCATTACAGCATTGTAGTTGCCCATATTCCAGCAGCATTTTGCCACATGTACTAAATATGAGAAGACTTCTCGTTTCTCCTCCATAGAACCTGCAGTCAGGATCAGCCAGGTAACCCACGAGCTCACCTTGTAAAATAAAATGGACAGTACAGTCAGCCAAAGCAATGTCACTTGAAGCATTCATGCACACTTGATGGATAACATGGGGGTTTTTTGGTTTCCTTCTGTCAGGAGGGTGTCAAAATTCTACTTATACACTTACGGCCAAACCACATATAAATTGCAAACACACCTTACATGCAGACATACTCCCATTACAACAGTTAAATCATTAACAATTCTAGAAATATTCATATTAAACAAAAAAAATACTGTATCTCATTATAAGATATTCTGAATATGCATTCAGGCCAGGAAAGAAAACAGACAGCTTAAGGAAAGCACTGTCTTCTGAAGCTGCCAGAGAGATCTGCAGTGTACATTCTCATTAATGTAGCTTGCAAAGCTCAGCCTCACACCAAATAACCCTTGTTCTTACAACATGAACAGTGAAAGTTGATATATTGAAATTTTGATTTTCACTTAATTTCACAAAACTGGTAGTTGTATTTAATGTATGGATTTGCTAATTCTTACATGCACTGAGCATCTAAAATAATTCATATTGGCTTATTTGCAAGATCACAAATCAAGTAAAAAATAAACCACCACACTTTCCCCCATATTACCAACTTCTGTTCAGTGATTAATTAATGCCAGAATCAGAAATTAATTTAGTACAGGATTCTGTTTGTATTTAAACAAATAAAAGGCAAACCTTAATTTTATCAGTGTGCAGATATTCTTTCCAGTTTGTGTTCCCACAACATCCATAAAAAGTAGCTGTATTTCACATGGAAACCTAATTTAAACCAACTGTTCCATTTTACAATATGATTCCCTGAGGGCTTGAATTTTGTCATTGTGTAAACACTTAGGAAGCAATAAACATGATGTGTTTACTGACACAAGTTCCATTCTTTGGTCCTGAAGGATTCAAGTGTTTACAGACAATACCAGTGTGAGGAGAGGCTTATAAAAATTAGAAAATGTTAGTTCACTCCTCAGAAGGCATAGACTTTTACTTAAAAAACCAAGCATGCAAAATAAAATGTAAATGGATTAGTACTAACAGGAAAGAAAACACTAAAAATACATAGGGCTTCCATGTATGCAAGTCTATACAGACAGTGTCCTAAGCCTCTCGCTCCTGAGAGCAGTCAAAGAATATGAAAAATATGTTACTGTTTAGTCTTTCTGATGCCCAAATCAATAAAGAACAATGAGAAATGTGCAGATAAGAAGACAAGCCATAGCTCTTATATATGCAATGTGTATGTGTGTACAAAACTCCCACATTTTTAAGACCGAATTCCTGAAGAAATGAGGTTATAAAATCATTCTGTCCTTCATGCAGTGAGGACATACTGAGGAGTGCATGGCCCAGGGATGGGGATGCTCTAATGGGATTGTGAGGATCAGGGGACAACAGACCTATTAAGACTAGTGATTACTGAAAGAAAACAGGTTAATGTCTGTTTCAGTAAATATTGTACATTTTTATAACATGTAACAACAGAAAATATTAGGAGCAGATAACAGGTACAGACAGTTTTCAACTAAAGTAGAACAAGTACCAGGGTCCAACGTCATACATGTAAGCCTTCCCAAACACAGCCTTAATGCACTGTCACTGCAGAGGCCACAATACAAAAATAAATAAATAAAAACTATTAATATTGGCTGCCCTATACAAGATATATCTAATTGCTGCACCAGTTCTGATTGAGAATTTGAATTTCGCTGAAATTTTATTTGAAGTGCTCAATTGGTTATTTCTAAAATGTAAAAACTGAATCAATAAAGAAGTGTATACCTGAAGACCATGAAGGTATGGAAATATGCAAAAAAACCCCAGAGCATTGCATGACACAGGCCAAACAAGGGCAAAGCCAAAATAAAAGACTCAGAAATTGTGAAACAAAACAGTTAAATCTGTGATTCAAGGTTGGCATAAATTTGTTTGTGTATGCTGGAATGAAATTACATATTGCTTTTGGATATTATTCCCATTTTCCAGAAATGGCTCTGTTAGGGAATGCAAATGCTAAACATGCAATCTCACCAAAAAATTAATATTTTTTTGGCATGAAATACCAAGTGTGGCAATGACAGTTTGATTAATATGTGTTTAAACATTTTAAAGAATAATATAATTTTAAACAGATCTGGTTTAATCTAAAGTAGTCAAGATGTAATAGTCAGAAGAAAACTATCAAAATTGAAAAGTCTAAAAAGGTAATTGAATTCAGACTCCCCACTAAGAAGCAACCTTGAAACTAGGACAGTCACTTGTTAAAATTTTATTTAATAGAGAGTTTAGGACTGCTATAAACAGTTATGATGAACTCTTACAAACACTCTGTAAAAGCAAACAAAAAATGATAAAGGTCAACATGAATAAGCCTTTGCAGCCTTGAGATGGCGTATGTATATGTAAGAGCAAAATAAGGGTGCAGGCAGTAAGTCTCCCATGAAGTTTATGTTCACTCCTCTTGCACTACAAGAACAGACTTAGAGGAAGAGTAGAAAACACTTTTAAAATCTTCCACTAAACAAGAAGGAAAAAAAAAGTGTCTGAATCTCTAAATTTTAAAACAGAATGGGCAAAAGCAGATAAATCGGATTGAGCAGAATCAGGGGACAGAACTGAGCATCTAAAGATACAACCCACTCCTGAAAAATAATGAACATGCCTGTTTTAGAAACAGCAGTATTTTCCTGATCTCTAATAAAAATGAAAAGTGTGAGGAGCAGGCTGGGATACTTCAGTCAGATGTAGGTAAGGGAAAATTTAATTCAAATCATTTTATGTTTTGATGGATTTAAGAATGAAACAGAATTGATCCTCTAGATATGCTACACGCTGTTTTGACTTACCCTTTTTTATGTCATATCTAGCAGTAACCAGGAGCATAAATTGACCTTTCTGGTGGTTCGGAATAGCACCAGGTCTCCATAAAGTTTTTCTATGAATTATTTAACTAATGGTTGGACTAGATGATCTTCTATGTCTTTTCCAACTTCGATGATTCTGGTATTCAGAGACTGTTGGTTGATTAATCTGAACATACCATAGAGTCCCCAGAGAGGGGGATTATGGACTTCTCAAAAAGCATAATAGCCTGATCCCCTAAAACTGATTTCTTGGAAGGTTTCATCAGTCTGAGACTAGTACAGAGATGATTACAATGCAACAGTACCGTCAGAAAGGAGGGAGCAGAGGAAAGGAGCTGTGAACAAAGGTTGTCTCCTTTCATTCAGTGAGGTTTCTGCTGAGTGCTGTGCTTAACACCTGCAACAAGCTTTTCTGCTCCTAGTTTTTTTAGTGCAGACAGCTGGAAAGGGAAGAGAATTCAGACAGATAACAGAGCTGAGTGGGCATTTCTCCAAAACTAAATGTGGTCCTGGAGCCCAGCTGGGAAACAAACACAGAATTAATAAGCAGAACTATCAGTTATCCACTTAAAATGCCATGGGGGATTCTTCTCATAGAAGTTTTGAAGGTGGGAGATCTGGTTGAATTAATAGGTTTTAAAGGAGCAGAAAATTGAATCTGAACCTGAGCTGATTGAGGTCACTTCCCAGCTCTGAACTCCCTGAAGATTTTATTCTGCCCAGGGATACTGAACTGATGGATCCAAGAACTTCATCATGAAGAACAATCTTCTAAAGTTCTTCAATAAATGCACACTGGGATAGTTTGGGTATGCATTATTTTGTCATGATTACTCATAATGGCCACAGCTAAAATGAATGACATACAAACACTGAAATGTAAGTACGTTGAAAGGACTGCAATCTTCAGGAAGAATCATGTATGATAGCTTAGAGGAAACTTAAGTATATTAATTAAATAAGTATATTACTTAAGTACATTAATTAAACTCAGTAAACATACTCTTTAATTTTGTGATTTACTGATAAATATGTGAGCAGTCCAGGGTATATCCTACAGGTATAACTCCACAAGAGTCACCAACATTCTCAAATTACTGTATATCTGCCACTGGATCCCCAAAATATCCGATATGCATATACTATATTTTTGCTGCCTGGGATGCATAAGCTTCCTCTGCACATGTGGTATTCAAGAAATAACAAACTTTTCAAGATCTTCATTCAAATGAAAGTTCAGAAGTGGGATTTCTCAGATGCCATCTGAGCTGGATGTACCTCACATAAAAGAAAGGCATAAAACTCTGTATATGTACTTATGTCTTGGTGGCTACAGCATTGACCTGGAAGTTGAATTCAAAACTCTGTTTTTTCCACTTTGGCAAGCAAGTAGAACAACAGTATTTTGGAGTGGCAGAGTTTCTCTGTCACTAAAATCAAGCGTGATCTCTACCTCCAAAAGGGGTTTTCTAGTAGGAGGAAGAGAGTAAAGGGAAGCTTCATCCTGGCAGGCTCTGACTTCCGGACACTTCAACCAGTGGGATACAGATGGCACCCCCTCTTCCAGCAGGTCATTCATGGTTGGCTTACAAAGCTACCTCTGCACCTAACCCAAGGATGAAGTAACATCAGGTAGCCAGCTGCCTAATTATCAGGCTGCCACTACAGCAGGATGAGGGCTTCGCAGCTCAGGCAATGCCTGGACTAACTAGCTCCGGGACCACAGACAGCAACACCCCTGCCAAAAGAGTGCACAGTAGCAGCCTTGCCAAGAAGATCAAAATACATTGCGAGTATTCCTCAAAGAGCAGTAACGCTCTTTGGACCAAGTTTTTGTGTTAGATACCACTTTAACATCAGGTCACAATCTACGTATCAACATACTAATCATTATTTCCTTAGTTTACATTTTTTTCACACTTGACTTACATAGTTCTGTTTATGTAACTCATTTTAAACTCCCTTCAGAACAGAAATCATCACAGCAAACCTATAATTAGATTTCCGCTGCACTGCTGATGAGTCTGAAAAGTATGAGAAAATGTATCCTGGCTTCATTACTATAATCCACATGATTGCAAGACACAAGAAAAGTCATAAATTAAAACATGATCCACTTAAACAAGTAC